TCTCTCCAATTCAATAGGCCGTGTTTGTCCTCCTCCTCCTCCTTCCCTGTTTTTTTTTTTTTTTTTCGCAACTTCCGATAGATCGAGTACTTTAAAGGCAATATACTTGATATAAAATTAAAGAGCATCTCTGAATCAAATTTTTTTTTTGCCCTTTTTGTTACGAATATTTTGTAGATTATTTTTTTGTGATAGTATGGGCTAAAGCAGAAGTGAATCTTAATAAAGTTGAATTCATATATATATATATATATATACATTGTGCAAAAATGAATAAAAAATAAAAAATTCATTTTGGGCCAGTTATTTAATTAAGGGCCTCCAATACCTTCTTAGCATATGGTCAAGGCTACGCGTCATCTGCTTGGGCCCAATGGACTTCACCCTCCCTCCTCTAAAAAGCCAACAATTGGTTTGTTAGAAGTTGAACCACAATGGAATTTATTGAATTTTGTTTCTCGAATTTCTTGTTTAGTTTTGTTTTCTTGTTTTATAAAACGTTCTTTTTGCACAAAATGTTTACCTTCAAAGATCTTGTTTTAGGGCTCTATAAGAAAAAATAGATTATATATAAGTTATTATTGATTGAGACTTAGAAGGTATCAATGATTTTTATATGTTGTTTGTATTTATTTATTTTATGCTATTCTATGTGATTGGGTCTCAATTAAGGCCCACTTCCGAACATAAAAAGTGATACCCAGCAAAATTAACTAGAATTTTTTACCAGTGGTATAAAACTCAAGTCACATAAATTATTATTGTACAATCCTGAAAATGCACAGGAAACCCATCAATCATCATACGTGATATGGGCCAAGCCCTAAAAATGATACACACAGTGACACACTAATCTATCTATGGGCCGGCCCACCCAGGTTTGTAGTACATGATACACGCCCCTATCCAAGTTTTGCCGTCCTCGAAGCCTCTCATATGTTACACGCACGGGTACATTTTTCAAAAGAGTGAAACTATTGTTGACCCTTCGTATGACAAATTACGAAAGCACTACACGAGTTAAAAGGATTTAAATTTAGTATAAATCAGTTTTTCTTATAAAAAGGTCGATATAATTAACCCATTTACTTATCTTTGTTGGATTAGGGTTGATGAGTTTAACCCGTATAACCCGTTTATGACACATTTAACTCAACATATTATAATCGTGAATATAACCTATGTAATATGTAATATGTTTAAACCCAATTACTCTAAATACTAAATAGTTAAGTATTTCAACATAAACATTCTCTATGCCTTGTGATTTTTCTTTTTATTTTGAAAATTTTGGTTAATTTTGATAAATTTTTTCTATTATTTAGTATTTGATTAAATATTAAATGTCGTATTTTGATAAACAGATTAACACGTTTACCTGTTTAATAAACGGGTTTGGTTATTGTTAATGATTCTTGACACGATTATTAAATAAGTTAGGTTTAAATTTACCTATTTAGTATAATACCCTTACATCGACATAACATGAACACGAATTACCACTCCTAATTGAACTGGCTCGTAATAATTTTTATGAATTCTTCTTTAATTTTGGAGGACACAAACTTTATTAACTCAAGCAAAATGGCAAAGACCTACCACATAACTTGATAATTATTTGATGTATATGGGATGGAGAGACTATACGTGTCTCGTGATAAAATATGAACTACTTTAAGAAGTTCATGTCACCCTAGTTGACCACAAAAATATTATACATTATTATGCTTCTTCTTCTTCTTCTTTTCTTACTTGACCAAAACCTCGCTGTGTTTGGAATGCTGGATTTAATAGGATTTGGATTTAGAAATAGGATTTATAGTGTTTGGAATTATTGGATTGTGAATGGGATTTTAAAGTTATGGGATTTCAAATACTGTTTTTGATGTGTTTCAAATTCTGTCTAAAACAACAGGATTTAACGGGATTCCGAATATAAATACGATATTATCTTAATTAATCTTTTAATATCTACTTAACCTATTTCAATCTCCAACCGTCTTCTTCTCATTTAACCCTATCCTATTAAATATATACTAGCATATCTCTATCTCCAACGTTATTTAAGTAATTCCATACTATTATCTCATATAACTGTTTACCAGCGTTATTTTACTTTTTAGTGATTTTTTTTAAGTATGTTGGTGATGTTTAATAAGTTAGTTTTTTAATTAAAAAATAATTGCTCTTTTTTTTTTACGTGATCTGTTAAATAAATAAATTTTATATTTCAGTTATATCATTTAGTCCTTCTTTTTGTTTGTCTATTTGATGTAACTTTTGGAGCACATTTGACAATAAAATAAATATTTTATTTATCATATAAATAAGGGCAAAAATGGTATAATATTATTTTTATTCCAAATACCCTTTTAAATCCAACTTCAAATTCAATTGATTCTAAACATAGAAATGGAATTTAATTTTAATTCCAATTCCTTTTCTAATTTCGATTCATTTCCAAATCCTAAAATAATTTATTCCAAGCAAAGCAAAGTGTCACGGGTCTAGAGATTTGGCACAGCGACACGGCCTGTGCGGCACCAAGGCGTTGCTTCAGCTCGCGCAAGCGCCCTGGTCAGCCACCACGACCTGCCCTCTTAAGGATACATGCTGACTGGTTTCGACCTGCCTTGGTCTCATCAGGGGAACGGCTCCAGCTCCCGACCAGTTTGTGCAGAGATGGCGAAATCCCTTCTTCATAGTCAAGTCCACGACCAGCGACAAACTCCTCGCACTCAACCGAGTCGACCTACCTAAACTCTGAAGAGGTACCATCCCATGCTCCTGCACGCCCCTTCCCTGGAACCATTCCCAGTCAAACTCTGCTCTTTGCCAACCAGCATGCGTGTCTTTCATCCTCCAAGCGTCTTAGGAATCACTTCGTGACACTCTCCCCCGCCCAAATCCTGCGACGCCCTCGTCGCAGTGTGGCGCTTCACTACTGCGTCCACTCCCTTCTAAGGTCTGCCTCCAACCGGTATGCTCGTCTTCCCACCATCGCTTCCTTGTACAGCTCCCTACGCTGCATTCGCCCAATGATAGGCCTAGGAACAAGGGGACGTCCACTCCTTAAGGACATGACTCTTCTTCGTCATGCCGCCTCCACGACATCCCGAGCAAGCAAAGGCCTCATGCCGATTTGATGCTCGCCCTTCACCATGGTTTGCATTACTCAAGACTAAGCACGAACTTTGGTGCGCGTGGCCCTCCAGCGCTCAACTTCAACAGACGCCTCTTCCAGGGGAGATGGAGGCTTTCCCCCCAACTACATTGATTCCTCTTTATCGACGTAGCTTCAGTGCACCGTCTTCATTCTCTGACCCCTCCCGGACTGACAAGGGGGTACCCCACCGTGCTTTACCCCAAGTCTTGCTCTGATACCATTTGTCACAGGCCTAGAGATTTGGCGCAGCGGCACGGCCCGTGCGGCACCAAAGCGTTGTTTCAACTCGTGCAAGAGCCCTGGTCAGTTACCACGACCTGCCCTCCCAAGGATACATGCTGACTGGTTTCGACCTGCCTTGGTCTCACAGGGGAACGGCTCCGACTCCCGACCAGTTTGTGCAGGGATAGCCAACTCCCTTCTTCATAGTCAAGTCCACGACTAATGACAAGCTCATCGCACTCAACCGAGTCGACCTACCTGAACTCTGAAGAGGTACCATCCTGTGCTCCTGCACGCCCCTTTCCCGTAACCATTCCCAGTCAAACTCTGCTCTTTGCCAATCAGTACGCATGTCTTCCATCCTCTAAACGTCTTAGGAATCACTTTGTGATAAAAGGCTCCATTTGGTTACATGGAACTAACAAGAAAATAAATGAAAAGAAAAGTTAAATTAAGTGAATGAGAAAAAAAAAAAATCTAACATCTACGACATATTCAATTATGATAAAAATTTATTGCAATAAATTATTATATTATAGTTTGAATAGCATGAAAATTACTAAAAATATTTGTACTTACCTAAATTATTATTATTTTTATAAAATAATAAAATAAATAATAGAATAATAAAAAATTAATTAGTAATTATATATATATATATAATATAATACAATATAATATAATATGATGGAAACAAGTCAACAAGACAAACTAATCAAGTTATTATTGATATGTAATTAATGATGAAGTTGTTGGATAAAATAAGAATGTGAAATAAAAAGATTGAAAAACTTTCACGTCATTTTCGAGGAAAATAACCACCTGTGAGATTCTTAATTTTCCTGAACATTCTCTTTTCATGATATCCAAACTTTAAAAATAAAAATAATAATAATAATAACAATAATTGGGAGAATCCTAATTTTCCTGAACATTTTCTTTTCATAATATCCAAACTTTAAAAATATATATATATATAATAATAATAATCTTTTTTCCTTTCAATATAAGAATTCAATTCAAAATACTTTAAAAATAAACTAATACAAGTCAATCAAATATAACCTTTTAATTTGATCGCATCAAGTGAAAAGTTGGGGACTTATGAAAAATAAAAAATGAAAGTAAATAATAAAAATAAAATACCAGTGATTTATGTCATTTTACTTGAAAAAAAAAAAAAAAAAAATTGGACTCATCTATGTGATTTTTGTTATTATCAAAGTTTGTGTAGTCATGGTATTTTTTAATAAGTATGTGTGTGAATATGCTTTTTATTAATGAAAAAATGTAATTTTATTATAAATAAGTTTTAATATAAATTTTTTGAGGGTAAAATTTTCATATAACCTCCTTTTTCAAATAACTATAAAAAAAAAAAAAAAAACCTCATAAAAGAAATCATCATTTCTATTTACCATTAAAAATATAGACTCATAAAAGAAATCATCATTTCTATTTACCATTAAAAATATAGAGAAGAATTTTAGTGGCCAGGAGCTTCTATGTAAATCCATTCCAATATCTGAAAAAAAAAAAAATCTATTCCAATATTCCGGGTACGATAGAGACGGACACTTGTTGTTAACTCACCACTTCCACACAAATATCTCTCTTCTATAACCGCCTTATTTCCTCCTCTAAAAATAAATCACCGCAAAACCTAGAAAAGCTCTGATCTTCACATCAACAGCAAATCGAATCCAAATGTTGAGAAACGCTGGGAAGAGAGCTCTAGGGTTAGGGTTTGGGAGGTCCCAATCCCAAACTCCTGTGACGCAGGTTCTGCAGCGATTCTACCACGAGAGGGTCGTCGATCACTACAACAACCCCCGCAACGTAGGATCCTTCGACAAGAATGATCCGACGGTCGGCACGGGCCTTGTCGGTGCTCCGGCGTGTGGTGATGTCATGAAGCTCCAGATCAAGGTCGATGACGAGTCTGGCAAGATCGTCGATGCGTGCTTCAAGACTTTCGGTTGCGGTTCGGCTATTGCTTCTTCCTCCGTTGGTAAGTCTTCATAAAATTCTTGAAACACACACATGGATATGTATGTGTGTATAAAGCAATATATTTATATGTTTGTAGTTTGTGGAACAATTATTCTCGTCGATTCGTTTGTTGTGTGAATTGGAAACTTCTGGGAAATTTCCGTTAGGAAAAAAAAATTAGCTGGAAACATTTTCATTGGAAACAAATGAATATCTTTTGATTGTGGAATTGGTTGCTTTAGTTGATTGAATTTGGTCATGATTACTCTTTTGTTTTTCTCGATTAAGATGCTGAAGGGAGTATATGTTTTGAAAATTTTCAATTATTCAGGGATGGATGATCCTTTGTGGATATTAAGTGATAATTTATTGGCTTAAGAAAGGGTTGATTCATTCAGACCACTGAAGAATTAAAGAAAATGATTTTACAAGAAATGGCTCATTGCTTTGGTTGCCTTTGTTCTGGTTGATCGTCATTACACTTCTCACAATGTTTTTCTTCTATTATGTGCTATTTCTGGTTCACTTCTCACAGTGTTTTTCTTCTATTATGTGCTATTTGTGGGTGGAATCTTGACTGGGCTTAGGTTTGAAGTTTTGGCAATACGTCTACAGTTTATTTGAATTGAATATATGAGAATTCTTATATAGGACTATGATCACCCAAAATGTTTGGATTGCGACTTGGAGGTTGTTTTAACTGAAATGATAATTGCTGCCAAGTTTCAGATTGGCACGTGTTGGGTTTTCCAAGCAACTACCTCATAAAGGGGCAAGCTAATGATGTTGCTTCTCCTAGATGCAATAAAGCTGTCAGACTGGTTGGTTAAAATTTGTGTGATATATGAATTTTGCTGGGTATCAAATCTAATTTTTTAAAGATGACATTTTGTTTGCAATGAATAATGTGACTATTCCAGGGAGGATTATATATGCTTGAAGTTGGTTGCTAAAATTTTATTATGGGTTTTCTACCAATCTTGTGTTTTAAACTGTTTTATTAACTAAGAATACAAACATAGAGCATTTGGCATTTGTAAATGTAATTGTTCTTTTTTCTCATTTTCAGCTACTGAATGGGTGAAGGGAAGACAAATGGAAGAAGTTCTAACTATCAAGAATACGTGAGTGTTCTATTCACTATTTTGACTCTAATACTTTCATGTTATTTGATATATTGTGTAGTACCAATGATTCATTTTGTGCATGTCTTGGATGGGTTATTCTGTCAGGTGCTCTTGGTAATTTTTTTGTGCTTCAAATGCATGGTTCACTTCTTAAGTAATTGCTGTGTGGTATTGTGGTTCTTCGGCTCTATGTTGAAGTTAAATGAATTAATCATTGAAAATTCAATGTTCTCGCTAAATATTTAAATCTTCTGCTGCCTTATTGACAAATTTGGACCATTGCCTGTATTAAATTTATTATTCTGGTTTAATCACCTTCAACTGTAGCATTTGAGGCTATAATTTTGTAATATTAACAATGATTGTCACTACTAATCATTGTTTTGGCCTCCCTCTACACCTCTTTGCAATACGTTCTGAAATTATTTTTTAAAACTCCAAAGCAAAGCTGAACAATGGTCATAAGATTTCATTAATGACTTGATAATATGATATATCCCCTTAAATTAGAATTTACTAAACTGCAAGCATAAGCAAAGATATAACTCATGTGGGATAACCTTAATGATGACAAGAATGATAAAACACAGTATCTTTATTGGCCATTAAGAATTGGGGGAAAAAATAATAATAATTTCTGGTGGGGAAAAAAAAAGGAATTGGAAAAAATTGATAATTGACATGTTTATGTGTTCCACATTGAAGTATATATTTTGCATTTTATAATTGACATGTTTATGGTAAATCAAAGGAACATCAACTGGAATGCAAGGCTAATCAGCATATCCGAGAATACAGGCTAAGATATATTAACTTTGATGATTAAACGATCATTGAACTCTATTTGGCCTTATTCCCAATGAAGGACCAAGTACTTTCAGCATGACCTGTACCACCCCTTGGTATCAGGGAGTCTCACATCTGTATCTTTTACTAAGCATCGTTAAGTTATCGCATGTTCAATATGGAAAAGTGTTAAATCCAAATGAGGAATGACGCGGGTGTGTGTATCTGGTAAAATCAGAGCTCCCTTATCCACCAACCAATCATGGGCTTAGATTATCTCGTCTGGGTCGAGCTAGCAGACACTGGATCTATATTCTATATTAGTTAAGTAGCATGATTAATTGTTAAAAAAATTGTATCCATAACCCATTCGCCTCAGATATTTATACCAAGGGTTTCCCAGGTGCCATGCGTCATGAATGTAACCATAATTTGAAGATCGTTTTTAATTGTTAACACGTAGACACTGCTTACTTGATACTCTGGAAAGCATATTCGGCATCTGTTCAATGCAGGGATGTGGAACTTCTGGTGTATTAATCTCACTTTTCTTAAGTTAGTACTATAAGTTGGAAACTTGGAATGTCGAATGATTTTATAAATAATAATTGTTTCTTGTAGCGAGCAATTTCTTGGCAAGTAGCAGTATCTTTTAATGCTTAGACATGTAGAAATCATACTAACATCATATATATGTCTGCATATTTTCTTGTTTCATCATATAGATATTTATTTCTCAAGCCAATACTTTTGGAATGTATATGGCGACATGGTGGATAAGCCATCTAGAAACTGTTTTGGTAGAACACTGAAAGAGAAGCATATATCAAAACGAATTTTTATATTTTTCTTCACCTTTATGAAGTACAAAAACAAAAGCAAATATCAGTGGTCTTTTTTACTGGTCATACCTTGTAATTAAGAACGTGCAACTAAAAATTTTACTTGGGAATATTTTTCTGGAATTCAAGGAGATGATTGAAAGGGAATTTGGGTTTGGTATATAGACCTCAATTGACTTGAATTGAGAATGGAGTGGTAAATGAGTCTTGTAAACTTAGTTTTTTCATTGAGCAACTTTATTTATTCGATTGTGAAAGATGTGTTGTGTGAACTTTCATTGTGTAAAATGAAATATGGAGAAGCTTTGGTATTTATTTCCTGATTTGTGTTATCCTGTTAGTGCCTTCATTTCATGAAACAATTTTTTTTAAATTGTTAAGCTGGTATTTTAATACTCTTATCAAAAAGAAAAAAAAAGTTAAGATGGTATTTTTATTTTTTATTTTTTCTCTAGTTGGAACCTCATGAGGACTTGAACCCCCAATTTCCACTTTGAAAGATGAGGTAGTACCACTAGGCTAGACTTGTGGTTAGTATTTTTACATCTTCCATTTTGTGGAACAAATACCAACACCTTGATTAGCCCAAATGCCTTTCTCAAAGGGCCTCCTTTCCTGTATGTGGTTTTTTTTTCTGCTCTACTATGTTTTGGGGTAGGTTGTGTGCTTGCATATTGTTTCAACCTTAAAGAGTTTGTAAACACAATTTATTTATATTCATGCTGGCTGCTTTCAGCTTCTGAAATTTTGTGATTTTTGATGATAATGCAGGGAAATTGCAAAGCATCTCTCTCTTCCACCGGTTAAGCTGCATTGCAGCATGCTTGCTGAGGATGCGATAAAAGCTGCTGTGAAAGATTATGAAGCAAAGCGTGCAAAATCAGGTACAACTCCAGAGGCAGCACCTGTTGAGAAGGCTGCTGATGCTTGATGGTGGTGTGCTTGTGAAAATAGAAAATCACAATGTTTGAAAAAAATATTGTGGTCTTTTAGCCTTTATGTTTTTTCTTTTTTTGGCAATAATGATGGATTGTACTTGAAACTCCAATAGAAGACTTGTTTCAGGAATGTAATTTCACGAAAAACAGAACTTGTGTTTTAATGTAAATTACTATTCAGAGAAGACTGGTGCACTACCTAAAATATGTTGCCTTTTATATATATATATGCGTTTTCTGATAATGCGGATGAATGACCTTTGTTGATTTTATTATTGACCTTTGATGACCATTATTATTGGTCCTTTTTACCCATAGGTGCATGACTTTTTATTATTTTTTTTAAAAAAAGGAAAAACCATTGTTATGATACCAATGGCGTAGATCAACAACCGGTAGAAAATCAGCGACTGGAAACACGTACAGTTTTTCTGCAGACATGAACCAGCTAGTTTTGTAATCTATTATGTATTAGTTTTCCCGCATCAGTCTTGTCTTTGACTCAGAACTGGACAGAGTAACAATGTAACATTTTGGCAAGTGCTGCGTGTTACTTAGTGGTTAGGTTGCTTCCGAGCCCGTTCTAAAAATGATAACAAGAAAATTACATACACACCCATTTTGTTTATTTGGAGGTTTCTACTTTCGTCATCCACTCTGATGAGTAAGACTTTACTCATTTGGAGGCTTTTACCTTCACCAAAGGGGCGGCCTTAGGCCGAAAAAAATAAAGTGACTTTTTAATTAAATCTATTCATATATTTATGTAGTTAATTATTTGTTTTGTGATTTTTAAACCTATCACTAAAATTTTTCCAAACTCTAGTTCTATTGTTAATTAATTGGCTATGTATGTGCTTTCTAATAGTCATATTTAACAATATAAATAAAAATTATAAACAAAATATATAATTTTATGATAACAAAAATTAATAAAACTATAAACTAAATTAAGTTATAAAATAATAAAAACTGATTTCGAATAATTTGGTCTAATGTTCCAATAATTTTTTTTAATAAAATATAAGTATATTCAAAATCTTCTTCCGGAGTGAGATTGTAAATTGTAATTGTGGAGAAGATGAAAAAAAAAAAACTTAAATATATATTTAATATTTAATTTTAATGTGTGTTTATATATGCTGATGAGAGAGAGAAAAAAAAAGATAATACAAGGATAGAAATATTTTGTGCACATTATTAAATTTTGTATTTGTTGAGGTTTAATGAAATAAGAAAATAAAATATTTAGGTAAGTTATAATGTATAAAGAAAAAAAAATTTGGGGACCCGCAAAAAAATAAAGAATAGAAATTTTTTAGGTCAATTGTCAAATTTCTATATACGTTGAAGTTTAATAATTAAAGAAAATACTATAATTATTTTAGAAAAGTTATAATATATATAAATAAACAATTATGAGACCTTCTTATTGATTGGGGTCTTAGGCAACCGTCTAACTCGTCTAACACTCAATTCGACTCCGCTTCACCATCCACTTTGAGAATATGCCACTGGACCACAAGGTTATCGGTAGTCCATTCTTTTTTTTTTTTGGTAAATTCTAAAACTAAACATTCTGGTGTGAATATACCACTCCACCAAGGCCATTGGTGGTCCATGGTTGGTTTTTGGTAAATTATAAAACTAAACATTCTCCTGTGTGTGTATTTTTGATAATTAACATTCAAATTTTTTCTTTTTTGTTGTGTGAAAAAAGAAAAAATCACCATCCTTTTATTGTTGGTATATTATCATAAATGTTTTTCCATTGTTACTTTTTATGTTTTAAAAAATATTCCAACTTGATAATATATATATATATATATATATATATATATATATATATATATATAAAATTTTAAAATACTGTATTATTTACCTATCTCCTTAAAAAAAAAATTTAAGGGAAGAATTATAAATTAAAACAAAATTAATATAACGTACACATCCAACTCGGTCTAAATTTTGGTATTGCATTAAGGAAATGGTGAATAAAATAAGTAAACATCAAATGGTTGGTACATACTACGTATGATAATATATTACGAGTATTATTTTATTTCCTATTGTGTCCTAATTCATACTAGTTCGTATTTTCCTTTTTTTCTTTTAAATGTTGTCAGTACCGCATAAACCAGAAAGAAAAGCACCTTAGAATACGGACAGCAACAAATAGCCCTGCCACAAAATCTGACGGCATCCCATTAATAGCTTTACTTTTCTTCTAAATTATTTTCTCGAGAAAATTCTGAAAATTTTAATCATTTCCGTCCGGAAACTCACTCTCGTCACCGGTCTCCTTTAGATTTCCCAATCTTAGCCCCTACTCAGTTCATCAGAAATGCAAAACCCTCGGATTTTTCTTCAGGTACTTAGATTTACTTTTTTTTTTTTAATGTTTTGTAGTTTGCTTATCTAATATCTTCTTATATGATGCATATGTTTCTGTTCTGATTTATAGTGGGTTTCTATTTTTAGATATTGTTGTTCATGGTTTTGGTATCTATCTATGAATAGCAAATGCCATGAAGTGATTTTGATTCTTGATTTTTGATTTTTTCTGTTTCTGTTTCTAATCAGCTGTGGAGTTAATGTGAGACTGATACCTTTTGGGAACATCCTTGAGATTGGAAACCTAAGACTCCTTGAAATCCTAAATAGGGATTTTGTCGGTGTCTAAAATGGATGACGCTCAGAACCCTTGTGATAAAACCCTAGAAGAAGTTTATGGGTTGTCAGTTTTGAGTGAGAAGTGTTCTGGGCTAGTTTCAGATTCTGAGGTATCAGTTACAGCAAATGGTGCTGATTGTGATACTAATGCTAAAGGTATGGCAGTGGGCAATGTGGAAGTTGCGGTCGATATTGAAAAAGGAATCAAAGGTATTGAAGATGCTGCTGCAGAAAGTTGGTTCAAAGAAGATTGCTTGGAATCTGATTTTGAGGGAGAAAGTGTAGTGGTACCAAATAGCACTGGAATAGAAAATGAGGATGTATCAGTTCCAGAAGGGGGTTTAGCAGTCAATGAGAGCAACGAGATCGTGATCGAAAATGTTTTAATGGAGGAGGGTAGAAAAGAAGGAAAGGCAACACAACTGGATGGGGTGGAATCAGCTAGGAAGATAGAAGTTTCTGGAAATATTTCTTTATTTGTTGAAGTTTTCGGTCCGATAAATGGAATTATACAAAGTGATGAAGCAAAGCCTGGGGAACAAGTGCTGCAAGGGGGTTGTTTTGGTCAAGAAAACTCGTGCAAAAGAGACAGGGTTTTGTTGTATGATAATGGGAAAAACCCGAGTGCCAATATTTCTGAAATTCATGTGATGAAAAACTTCTCCATGGATGGGGAAGCAAAGGGAGGGAATGAAGGGGAGGAAGAGGCTATTGCTAATAAAAAATGCAAGTTCTCAATAGGTGATATTGTATGGGTTGAAACCAAAACTCAGTCTTGGTGGCCTGGAGTGATTTATGATTCTTCAGATGCATCAAAGGATGCTGCAAAGTCCGACCAGAGGGACTGCCTCCCAGTTAGATGCTTTGGAAATGGTGGTTCTTTGTGGTGCTCCCCATCTCAGTTGAAGCCCTTCATTGAGAACTTTGAACAGATTTCGAGGCAAATCAGCTCTAGAATCTTCCTTGGTGCGGTAGAGAAGGCGGTGGATGAGATTGGTCGACGTGTAAAATTGGAGATGTCTTGTTCTTGTATGTTGAAAGAAAGTCAAACCACGCTTGGAAATGCTGGAACAGAGGAAGGTGAGTTAATTCGAGACTGCCAAACTGGTTTACTCAATGGAAATATGGTTACTCAGTTTGAACCTAAAAATTTTCTTGCATATGTAAGATCTCTTGCCCAGCATATATCTATGCCTGGTATGCTTGAGTTTACTGTCATCCAAAATCATTTGTCAGCCTTCCTTCAAGCTGTAGGGCATTGCCAGCTGCCTATAAGTCAACTGTGCAGTTCAACTGATGCTAAAGACAGTGACGAAGATGGGTTTGGCAGATCTTCCCAGTTTGCATCAGGGAAGCAATCTGAGAGTTCAACGGATACAGTCTTAGAGCAGAAGCATGAAGACCTAACTAAGCTTTCTGGTGAGGAGAAGGATGTTTTGCCGGAGAAATGTGGGAGTGATGTTACCGAAGAGGGGACTAACTCAAGTGAACCAGCGTTAAAATCTAGGAACAGAGCAAGGAACAAGGATGCTAAATCTAGACGCGGAAGTGATGAAGCTGCAGATCTTAATGTCTGTAAATTGGCTTCTCCATCTGCGGAGGAGATGACCAGCCTCTCAGTATCTCCAACAAAAGCAGAGAGCAAATTCAGTGTAGAAAATGGTGATGGGGGAATTGAAGGGAAGTCTGAAAAGGGCTGCTATGAATCAAGAGAAAGAAAAAAGAGCAAGTATTTGTCACCTCCATATGTAAAACTAAAATGGGGTCGCAAAGGCTCTCCCATTCCAGAAGAAGATGAAACGGAAGACTGCAAGGAAGTTTCTCATTCAGGACTGGCCAAGATTGGCACTGCTGGCCAGTCTATGAGGTCCCCTCCAATTGTCAAGTGTAGTGGCGAGAAGTTACAGAAGAAGTCGTCCAGGAAAGCCATTTCTGGGCATAATACATCTGATAAAATTAAGAGAATCAGTACGTCTTCGGCTGAAATGCTCTCTGAACTTCGTTTTGCTGCTTTGGATTGCCTCTATCCTAATGAAAACAGAGAATTTGCTTCAGTTGAGATATTTTTTAATGGGTTCAGAAGATTGTCGTTTCATAGTGATCCTTACTATGAAATGGAAAAGCATACGGTTGATCAGAAATCTAACAATGAGATTCATATTCGCCAGACCTTATGTGGAGGTGAAGTTCGGGAGGGGAGGGGAAAAGAAATGGAAGAAGCAACTGTTGAACATTGGAGAACCGAACTTTCCACTGGTGCATCAGATGTGAATAAAAATGCTAACTATCCTGGTGCAGTAGGAAAAGATCCTCGGGAGATCAGCAACCCCTTATCAGTTGGTAAACTGAAAAGGAGGGTGAAAAGGAAGAAGGGAGAATCAGCCGTGGGTTTGCAGACTAACTCTACTCCTGGCTTAGCAGATATGAACAAGAACATTACTACAAGTGGCTCGGTGGTAATAGATTTCCAGGCGATGAACTGTCTTGCTCCCCAAAGTACACCAACACTGAAGAAGAGAAAGAAGAAAGCTGGAGTGATTCCAGAGCTTCTGCAGGATAATAAAATGCCTAGCAGGCTGGATTTGAATGGAAACAGTCCAATACCAAGCTCTTTGGCAGAAAATTCACAGGTCATGGGTCCCATTGCACCTCAAGATAAACTTAAGCCAAAGAAGAAAAAAAGGAAGGATGGAACTGCTTCAGTGCGTTCTAGGACTAAAAGTATTTTTCACTTATCAGATATCAGAAACCAAACAACACTTGGCTTGTTAAAAGATGTGCCAGTGATTGGTTCATATTCACTCCAAGGTGTCCCTGAGCTGATTAATACGGAGGGGATGGAAGGAGCCGCTTCACTGCATCAGAATACTGAACTTAGGGCTAGCCAACCAGCCACTTCACTGCATCAGAATACTGAACTTACGGCTAGCCAACCAGCCGCTTCACTGCATCAGAATACTGAACTTACGGCTAGCCAACCAGCTGCATCACTGCATCTGAATACTGACCTTACGGCTAGCCTACCGGCTGCTTCACTGCATCTGAACAGTGAACTTGTGGCTAGCCAACCAGATGTTAATGTGAAGAATGCTGAAAGCAGCTCTTTGGTGAATGATCCAAAACTATTTGGCCTTCTCTCTCCTGGTGCCAAGCCTGAGCCTAAGAAGCGAAAGAGAAAGGAGAAAACATCATTAGACTCTCTGAAGACTAAAGTTTCTTCTGCCATACCAGATTTGAATGGGAATGCTACTGATCCCAATTTATTAGGGAAAGATTTGCCAGAGCTGAACTCCATCACAGCCAATGGTAAACCCCAGCGTAAGAGGAGAAGGAGAAATAAACCTTTTTCTGGGGTACCAGATATCAGTGTTAATAATTATAATGTGCAGACTATTGGAGAATCTTTGGGGACCATTCTTCTCCTGAAGTTTGCCCCGGGATCTCCAATGCCAACAAAAGCAGCTCTTCTTGCAACATTTGGCGGTTTTGGGCCGTTGAAGGAATCAGAAACACAGGTTTTGAATGATTCTGTTAGTGCCCAGGTTGTCTTCATAAAGAGTGCTGATGCTGGAGAAGCCTTTCGGAGTTTAGAAAAGAGTAGCCCTTTTGGACCAGCCCTTGTCAGCTACCGACTTCATAAAGATTTGGAATCAGATACTAATTCGCCTCTGGCCTTGCAGCCCATTGAGGGATTCAAGTCCCCAGCAAAGCCATCTAGTTTGAAACCTCACCAAGGCGAGGCACCTGACCTTTTCCTTATAAAACAGAATCTTCAGATGATGACGTCAATGCTGGAGAAGGCAGGCGATAATCTTTCGCCAGAGATGAGAACCAATTTGGAGAATGAGATTAAGGGCCTCCTGAAGAAGGTGAGCACCATGGTCGGTCCGTCTTCCTCCTCTTAGTTCCATATGTTGTTATCTATGAATCTTTCTGTTTAGGCTGCCTGTAATGTTAACTTTTTGGTAGACTCGGGTTGTTTCGAGTCCCTGCTCTTTTTCTTGTATCAGCTGACATTCTCTCTCTTCTTGTGTTCCAAATGTTGATGTAGAACTGGGAACCTTTGTAGTTAATTGCTTTTGAGAGGGCATAACGAGCAATGTGTTTGATTAGGAGCTACATGTATTTTTACCAATTGCAATTGAGCCAAGATTAATCAGTTTGGCTTTGCCAGTCTGATAAATTATTGCTGGTTTAACAAAGATATCTTCTGTTTTGTTGAAACTAGCAAAGTCAGACCATAAGCAGACAGAGTCCTCTGAAATCAAGAGGTCACAGAACTGTTCGGTGCATAATAATCTATGTTAGATCAAACGTAGGTGCAGCACCCATGTTATTCTCTCACATTAGGTACGAGATACGCCGCTAACGTTTTTGGTTGGACATGTATAAAAGTAATTCAATTTTATTATATTATAGTGTCTGGTGCGGTTTGGGAATTTGACATGTCCGATGCGCCATTGGGTGGCAACTAGTCAAACTGCAAAGTAATAATCAGTTTCAATCACTCTTTTTCTTTCTACGATTACACCTCCAACATTGGATCATATTTTAAACCACTACCCTGAACTTGTACATGAATTATTGGCAACTAAGGTAAAACCTCTTCAGATTGTACAAATATCACTAAGATTGTAATATTGTTTATGACCAGGAGACACATTCCTGGTTATTTGATCTTATATTTGCCCCTACAATCTCTCTGAAGTCCATTTGCATTATGTTGGACACAGTAGCAGTGCTCCTAAGTATATGTGCAAAGTCATAAGGGGTGGTCAATATACTCAAAATAATTGTGGGGCACTCTTGAGGGCTAAATTGGCTTCGGGACTGCCCATCTAATTCACCACCCGCAGTTTCTGTAAAATCAATGAGTAATACAGGAAAACAAGAGCTTGCAATGGAATAACTTCAGCAGCAGATATGTGAAGTTAACAGCATTGTAGATTCCCTTTAATACAACTTCCTCTCTGTGCGCGTGCTCGTGTTAACGACAATATACTCTCTCTTTTATAGAAAGGAAATGGATCTGCTTCAACAGTTGTGGTAATTCGGTCTAGCTCCCAACTTCCTCTGTAACATGCTCTCCCTTGTATCCAGTGTGTCTATTGGTTAGGACTTTGATAAGAGAGATTCGGCAATAAATAAGCCATGCCTCGCCAGCCGAAGTCCTAGTAGCAGTGATACTACAAGCTCTGAGCTTCCCCATGAATCCTTTAGTTCAAATGCCATTGACATATTTTGGCAGACCCCCAAATCCAATGACTGCAGATCCTGGATCAGTCCCACTCCTATCCATGTTATGGACAAAGGTCTAGCAAAGTAGTTGATGGATCTGAAGGAATCACTGATGCCAAGGTTCTAGTTTTAATACTTTAGTTGCTAAGAAAATATTGTGGCGCAAGAGTCATTATTCAAATGGTAAAGTGAGAAAAACATCCCTAATATTTAAAATTTGGGCAAATAACACACCTAACATTTATTTTGGGTATATAAGTCCGTTAAAGTTTTAAAAATGGGTATATAAAGACTTAATTCGTATAATATGTTAGAAAATCATATTTAAGTAGTCATGTTTGTACGTGACTATATTAAGTAACAAATCCCCTAAATTGCCATTTTGGTCTCCCTAAAATGTCCTTATACCATTTTATATATAACCACGCGATATCATTTTTGGTTAGGGTACTTCGGTCAGTTTACATTTATTTATTTTATTTACCTTTTTTCTTTAAAACGCATAAGAGCACTTTAGTCTTTTTATTGCTCCACTGACAATAGACCCATGCTCGCTAAAAAATAAAGATTAGGGACTTTTAAAAATTTATAAGGGGTTATAAACCCTATTTGCATACTATAGAGGTGTTTATCGCTCGCTACCCTTATTCAAATATTGATCTTGATCCAAAACTAAATGCTCATAGTAAAAAGCCTGGTGGATAGTACTGGCGAAAGTAATTCAAATCTCTCTAGCTTTACATGAAATCTTTTAAGACATGCACAAGATTGATATCTCCTCCCTTTCTAACATTAAATCTGTTAAATATCATGATTGTTCATATTCTTATTCTTATTAAGAGGGTAACTATCTACTTGTAAGGGATAAGCAGCATATGTAATGCTTTTTTATTGAGCTTGGTTTGTCTGGAAAACAATTATGTCATAAGACTTCAATCCAATTTTTTTTTTTTTTTTTTTTTTTGTTACTGCTCATCTGGTAACGGAGATATATTTCTGACATCTTATTTTTTTTAGAGAGCTCATTTTCTAGCCTTCATTTATGTTTTTGTTTGTTTCCTATTTATATGCTTTTTATTTATTTTAAGAGTAATGAGATTTATTAATTTTTGAATTTATAAATTCAAAATTGTATATCCGCCTTTAAAATATTAATCTACTCCCTCCATCCCAAAATACAAAATACCGATGGAAGGAGAATCTCTTTTTCTTTTTCAATATGACAACTTAAAACTCTACTACATTTTGGATGTTGCTTCAGTTTCACGGACATTTAGAATTATCAAGAATTTATTTATTAAACTAAATGTGCTTAAACAAAGTTTGAGTGGATGTAATTTGTAGTTTTTAGAGCATGTTTTACAACACTCTTGGTGTGGGCAAATCAACTCCACTTTATTGATAGGAAAAAGGCTTTACAACGAATAATTAGGATGTGTACCAGTTTTATCAACAGTTAAGACTATTCTAGAATTGGGTTATAGTATCTTCGTATACAGTGTTAGATTACTCTATAGAATTCTATATAAATTCTAAATAACTCCATGCTCGTGTGTAGAAGTTTTGAATCTTCCTACCATCCTCATGTTGTGCGCCTGGCTTAATATTTTTTTGTTGGGGCGGGGCTTGTGATTTTATTCACTCTGCCATGAGACAGACAACCAACAAGCTTTTATTGGCGAGAGAAAAGGGGTCCACTATTTCAACACACCTACAAGAATTGGAGCAACTTCTGAAGGGAATTGCTATGGGGAAAGAGTTGACACTAAGCAAGGACTACTCAGCCTCATTCCGAGAGTGCATGTCAACAAAAAAAATTGCAGCATATTTGAATAAAATTGGTGTTAAAGCTCGGCAATATGATGATGCATTTGAATTTTGGATTTATAACAACAGATAGACTTCACAAATGCGGAGATTTTGGAAGCAACGTATCCAGATGTTGCAAAGAAATTACATAGTGATTGGATTATTGATGTTGCAATTCCTTGGAAAGGGCTGGAGGAGATCCTGTGAAGTGACTACATTGGTTAGGGATGGTAGTGATCTGACAGCCACAACTATTGGTAAAGCGTTGTGGTTGCGAGAAATTCAGGTATGGAAGGACATTGATGGTGTTTTGACAGGTGATCCTAACATGCATCGATGTGCAGAACCTGTGTTACATCTAGCAAGTGACGAGCCAGCTGAACTGCATATTTTGGTGCCCTGGTTGTGCATCCACAGTCCATGAGGTCAGCTAGAGAGGGTGATATACTTGTTAGGGTTAGGAATCCTTACAACCCTCATCGCTGTACTAACTAGCATTGTTTTGAAACGCAATGTAACGATGTTGGATATTGTTAGCATTCGCCTGTTTGGTCAATTTGGCATTCTCACAAAGGTGCTCTCAATCAACGAAGACTTGGGTATATCACTCGTGGTCGAACTAAATAACGTCTTGCTTCGACCATAGGAGTTGCTAAGAGTAAAATCCGGGAAAAAGAACAGAAGGTATGAAAAATACTTCAGGAAGTTATGGAGGGGTATCCCGTATTCCTGAATAGAGTGGATGTTGTAGCTACTAGTGAAATCCATACTTCCTTGACATTGGATCCTTTAAAGCTCTGGAGCAGAGAACTGATTCAGCAAGGTGGACCATATTGTGGAAAGCAGAAATATGTGTCAGGTCTCTGTCTCTCCACTCCGCCTTCTTTGAAAGTGATCTCTCAGAACTAGTTTGGGAACATGGATCTAAGAACTGTTCTCTTTCAAGATCATCAAATGACTATTGATTCTAGTCACAAACATAATCATCCTGGCATGGCAGCATATGCGACTCCATCTAACTTTTGAGAACCATCGCGTAATGATGTTACAGATATTGTCCAAGGACTACGTGGAGTTGGGATGACTCGGGTCTCTTGTACTGATGACTCAATTATGTAGGTAAATATGCATTCTTCTGTAATTGCATACCTCAGGCAGGATGTAATTAAATTTATTGAATGCTGCACGACTAAACAATTTTATTCCATTGATCTTGTCCACAAGGCATGATCAAGTGATCAATTTACAATTTTATATTGTAGTTTTATACTTACCATAAAATTTAAGATTTTATTCATCGGAATAAAATAAAAATAAATCTATTAGGTACTTGTTTGTCCAGGTAAAGAAAGACAACTGGGACGTTTCACCATGCAAACAACTTACACAGAACACACGGCTTTTCTTGCCATTGAAAGCAGATCCTGGAATTTGTTCCCACACTCTCTCATCAATGTGAAGACCAATCTTGTATTTTGAAAAGGCTAGATTTGGAAAAAAGACGTTGAGAAGCAAACATCATTTTCTGGTTAATAGCTCACTCTAAATCAAATGTCAGGAAGTAGAATATTGGGAAATACCACTTTCCAACAATGAAATAACTCGTTGGAACAAAACAAAAACTACAAAACGAGCAACAAATTTCACTCCATCATAGCAACTCCCCCAGCAGCCTTCATCTTCTCTATCACAGCATTTGCCTCCTCTTTGGCCACTCCACGTTTGAGCAAAACAGGTACCTTTTCGACCAGGTCTTTGGCTTCCTTCAATCCCAGGCTCGTAAAAGCCCTGACCTCTTTGATTACCTTGATTTTTGCAGCAGCATCAAATTTCTCTAACTTCACATCAAATGCAGTTTTCTCAGCCTTCTTCTCTTCAGCCTTTGTAGATTCAGCACTAATCCCTCCCAGGGGACCCAAGTCCATGCCATCAACCGAAATTGGTTGCATCTTCGGATGCCTAAGTGTATCTCTGAGAGTGGGACCGATCTGAACACGTTCTTCAGGGAGTAGGGAAGCAATTCTTTCAGCAAGCAGAATTATATTTTCAGAAGGTGGAGTTTTAGGGCCATATGGATCATAAAAGGGTGGATATTTGTAACTTTTAGGCTTGGCCTTGGGATCTCTTGGAACAAAGTCAGGTTGGAAGGAACGGAATTGCAAAGGCCCAGTTATTTCAGGAAGAGTAGGACGTACACTAGCGGTTCTGAGAAGTGCAACGAACTTCATGGTTTTGTTCATTAGTGAGAACAGAAAGTAATGAAATGATGAGGGCTAGTAAGTGGTGTTTTAATCATGTAGTTTTAGCATTCTGTGTAGCTGAGAGGTCTTGCTTCACTTGGCAGTAATGATTTGAGAGGAATCTTACCTGAAAAAGGGAATAAAGAAGGCATAAACAAAACTCCTCTCCTCCCAAAACCCTCACAAGATAGGCCATTACCTGGTGCTGATCTCGGTGACACGAGATGTTAGGAGAAGAAGATGTTAAAATTATTTTGCATAATTTTTTGCTCTCAAATTCAAACCCACATCATATCGTTTGTTATCCGGATCATTGCACCAAGAAATGACTCCTTCTCCCAACCTCTCGAAAAGAAAAAAAAGACAAAATCAAGAATGAAATTTTGGCTATCCAGTAGTCAATGCATCAACAAATACAACAAATCCCACTTCTGGTCTGGGTGTGATCAACTAGAATTCCACCTTTTTTTTCATTCTCAACTAGCACAAATTTTATTGTAGGTTCTGTGTATGTATGTATCAGTTGCCAATGTGATATGACAGTTGCAAAGTAAGAAATTGAAACACCCAAAATACTTCTTGATCTAAGCCGCTTTCCCAATTTATAAGAACATTGGCAAAACGGTTAAAGTTGAAAGAATATTGGCAAAACGGTTAAAGTTGGAAGAATATTTTGAAACGGGCATTCATTCAAACATATCGCGTGCAACCCAAATCATGCAATAATAAATCACAAAAGAATAAAAATAAATCATACATAATATGCAAAGTTTTATAATGCCAGTTATATGGTAACATTGTCCAAGTAACAAGCACAAAAAAAAACATAGCAAGAAGCTTACTGGGTAGTAAAAGACGCATTCAACAAGATGAGTGTTCTCCTTCTCAATCAATATATGCTCCCCTTCAACAGACCAACAAAACATTTAGATTAGGAAACAATACTTGCTTTTATTCAAAAATCAAAATCAAAATCAAGATTGCTGATAATTATGTAAATAACAAAATTCAGTGAGTAGGGCTGCCCCACTTGCAATGTTCAAAATTTCTAAAATGTGGGAAAGTGGCTTCTTCGTGGATTACACTAACGAGAATATTCTAAAATTTAGAATGTGTATTATATACGGAATATATCATTTTAAACAATTCTTTAATTTCTAAATTGAAATTGAAATTTATATATGATAAAATGAAATTTAAAGAAAACAAATTGATAAACCCAATTTAAAATTATAAAAAGACAAATTGACTTAGAACTAAAGTTTTTTAATCCAAACCCAACTCTAATGGTAAAAATTTACCCAGTACTAGGATTTGTCACCCATTCAAAATCATTGCAAAAAATAGACAACCTCATTATTCACTCCCGTAATGATAAAATAAAGGATTTGTGTGTGACATTGTCGTGTCTTTTGGTGGGGATTGTTATCATTGTATTTTTATTCTAAAGAGATAGGTTGGCCACATGATTTTTCTTTTTTCTTTTTACCATGTGCTAAATATTTACTTAGTATTAAAATTTTTTAATCTATTTTAATTACTTTTCTTACAAAATTTTTGGTTAATATATTTGTTGCTTATCTTTTAAACAAATAATGCAAGATATATCATTGGACCTACGTTGCTTGTGACCATATGAGATACTCATGTGTACACTAGTTTTTTTCTTTTTCTTTTTTTTTTTTTTTTTTGTAAGAAATGATGATTTTGTGACTTGAACCCATCATCAAATATTTAGGGACATTGCTAATAAAAAATTAGGGAAAAAAAATACAAACTTGCAAAGAAATTTTAAAAAACTAAATAAATAATATAAAAATACACACACCAAAAAAAAAAGAAATGCCACTTTCATAGTCACTGCTAAAAATTGTCTACAGTTCTTGCTTATGTGACAAAAGTTATTTTCACGAAATTTTTTCTCTCGTAGGGGTAAAAAAAAAAAAATTTCCTCATAAATTTATTTATTATTAATTTTTGAGAATTATTCCTCATAAAGACCTCCTTTGTCTAAAGAGAAAAAACCCTCGGAGACTCATATGCTACCCTCCTCTCTCTATCTCTAATTATTAGAGGAGAATCTAAACCCTTCACAGCTCCCGCCAATTCTCACTCTAGAATCACCGTCGCGTAAAAACCCTAACCCGATCGTCTTCGAGACTTCGACCCTCCAAGCACTCATAATACTCAATTTCTCTCCAAATGTCACTATCCAACTCTTGAAAATCGAAAACATTACCAAAATGAATTTAGTCACTTCAAGAGATGTTCAAGAGATCGTCTCAATGCTCTCATCCGACAAAGCCAAAACTCGAGAAGTAACACTCAATCTTCATTTCATTTTCTTTTCCCCTCCGTTTGATTGCCGAGAAAATGTGGGAAAGAAAGAAATCATACTATTAAATTTATAGTATTTTTTATTTGATTTTCGGAAAAGTGAACTTAACTAAGACAGATAGACTCGTTTGGCCGAAATCCGTATTCCCTGTGTTTCCTACATCTTCATGGATACCAGGAAGAATCTTCTCCTGGTTCTATGTTTGTTTGATTATTTATTTTGCTTTATCTTCACTTCTTTTTCTTTCCCCTGTTTGATTACCGAGAAAATGTGAGGAAATAAAAAAAATCAGAGCTACTGAATTTAGAGTGGTTTTTATTTGATTTTTGGGAAAATGAACTTAACTATGACAGATCGTTGAATTAGATTCAGCTGAATTTAGTAGTTTTCTCTTTGATCTCTGGAAAAATGAACTTAACTGTGACAGATAGTTGAATTGGATTCAGTTGAGCGAATATTTTATAGTTTTAAGTTTTTTGATTATTTTATTCTGATTTGATGTATGAATTTAGGAAGGGATTAAGTTGTTGAGTACCTGGCTGGAAGGTGAAAGATCAATTGGCTTTTGTAGATATATTGGCCAGAAAACTGCAAAGCTTAAGCCTAACGAGATACCTCACTGTATGTATATCTGTGTGTATCATATGGAATGGGTTGCTACCTCTTAACACATTATGTCATTATGTGTTTACATGTTGGAAGGAAATTTGAGGATTGCATTATGTATGCAGCTGAAACATGGCCTTTTCTTATTACGCTGCTCACTCAATGCATATCCCTGGAGATATCTGCAAGCAAGCGGCGTTTACCAAAGTTAATTTTTGCTAAGACTCTGCGAATTGTTGTTCAAGGAGCAGATGATGCTAAGTTTTCAGGTTGGTGTTTTATTAAGTTGTTTTCCTTGTAGGTAAATATCATATTCCTCAAGTGACCCAAGCCACTGCCATTTGGGACAACTTCTAGAATACTTTCAGCTCATAGAAGGCTATTTCTGTCATTAAGTCATAGCACAATGTGTCTTTTCTCACTACCTTGGCCACGGCCATCCTCTTGTTATTATAAATGTTGTGAATTTGAAGGAAATCACCGCTTGCCGATATATTAATTTGTTTTCACTATAAATAACCGAACCATCTCTGTATTCTCACAGGCATTAACCTCATTTTTCCTGATTTGGTTTCAATTCCAGCTTCATTGGATTGAGTATCTATCAACTAATGGGAAGATGGATATTTGCATTGATTTACCTGTTGTACACGGTTCCAGTTTAATCAAAGGATGGCCCCAAATAGAGCGGAATGGTGAAATAGGACTCGAGTATCGAATCTGAAATAGTAGGACAAAAGTTTTTTTTAAGTCCATCTGAGTAATTATCCATTTACTAGTGAAGGAAAGTAAAAATTTGAAATTGATTCATCATCTACGAGCTATAAACTTTGTGCTTGATTGGTACTTTTGTTTTGATTAATTCTCAAGAAATGCCGAAGAAGTGTACAGTCAATTGTAATTTTTTGCATTGGTATAGACCCTAGGAAACACAAATTACTATTCAATTCAGGCCATTATAACTATTTGGCTAAGTTGAGTTGAGTGTTTATTTTTAGAAAAGCAAAATACCAGAACAAAATATTTGAAGTTGTTATTTCATTGGTTTTCCTTTATTTTTTTGGTGACCAAAGAGATTTGTGAATAATTTTATGTTCTATTTATGATAAGTAAAATTGTTTGCATAAGCATTTTTGACTTGAAAAGATGTTATGAGCAATGGATGTAATTTGCTTACATGACCATTATCCTTGCAGGAAAGAATTTTCTTCTGTTAACTGTGGCCAAACTGCTTTTTAATCACATGTGGGATGTCATAAAAGATGTCCCGAGCTTTCAGTCCGAGTATGGAATTATTTTACGACATATTTTGAGAGATTATCGATTTCATATGAGGAAGCGGGTATATTGCAGTGAGTCTCCTTTTCGATTGCACCTCATACATGTTTCTTATGATGTTCTGGAAAATTGTCTTTTCTCAAATTTATCATACCAGTCCCATTTATTTTGGCAAGGTCTGGTGCTTCTATATATGGAAAAGGTGGAAACAAGCTTGAGTGGCAGTAGTGGCAGTCAATCTAATCCCAAAGAGGAAATCTTTCGCTGCATTCTGACACTCCATTCGCTTCTTGAAAATCCTCCAGGAGATTTTCCAGATAATCTTCGAGAAGACATTGTGAAGGGGTTTGTAGGAATATTCTCTTATGTAAGGTACAACATATATGGACCCTCCTTTGGATTTGTGCCTGTAATGGTGGAATTCTAATCTGGAAGTTATTGGACAATCACTTTCCTTACCATTATGTTTTCAGGGATGAAGGGAAGATTTCACGTAAGCTAATTGAGTGCATCAACACATACTTGTTAAGGGATGGTCCAAATTTGGATTCTCATTCCTTGGAAATCCATGATGCTGTGCAGCAGTTTGTGTTCCGTTGTTGGATAACAACCCACGACCGCGGTCTAAAGGTTTTTTAAACTAGTATTACATACATAGTGATGTCTGTATATTTGTAGATAGTTGAAGTAATAATAAATATACATGTATTCTATTTTTTATTTTTATATATTTATTTTTTTCCAAATATATTCATATTTTTCTTTTGCAGGATGCACTTATTTTATATGCAAGGTTACAATTAAATTTAACTAGGGGTGCTACTGATGGGAGTGCTTTGGTAGAACAACTTCTGGATGTAGTTGGCAAGGAACTAGATCAAATCAATATTTGTTGCACCAACCTGCCACGGTCACTTTTTTTTTGTTTTTGTTTTTGTTTTCATCATACATTCTCCTTTGGAGTTACTTAAAGTGATTTCTTAGATGCTTATGTGAATATACTATGTATTCAGGAGTGATACGACCAAGGATGACAAGTGTGGAACCTTAACAACCTCACAGTGCAGTTTGGTGGAGCTAGCAGCCCTAATCTTTTATCGGGTAGTTGTTTCAGAAATTTAGTGCCTGTATTTCATTCTTTATGATGATGCTCTATGATGTGCTTTTATTTGTTCGCTTTTGTAAAATTTAATTGTGCTATGAATTTTCTATGAATAGTTCCAAGGATCTATGGTTTTTTCTCGGATTTTTAAATTGATTAATTTCATCGTGTAGTACGAGTTTTCTATAATTTCTCTTGCAAAAGGCTCAGATGGATAAGAAAAGATTTGTGCCATATCTTAATGGATATTTCATGAAATATGCTAAATTTTTTAGCATAAATGTGATATGCTATATTCCCAAGTTTTTTCCTGTAAAATTGAAGCAGAAGCTGCTAGGAGTTAGAAACTTCTTCCTTTGGTGGAAGACAAAGAATGGTCATTGGCTAATATGATTTTACTATCCCAGGCTTGTGTTTGTAAATTAAAAGCACCATCAACTGGAAAACGAGCCAGAAGGGAGCATGCTGCTGCATATCTAAAGGAGGGGCTCACTAAAGGAAAATGGTTATGGTAAACTTTCTTTTGCCGTTTCTGACCCATTTTCACATACTAGCATGGTTTTTATGATGGTCTATATCAGTTCTCACCCCATATTAATCTTGGTCACACTATTTGGTATGGACGTTGGGTAGATGTTAAACACATTATGACTTCTTTATGGCGTTGGATTTGATGACATTAAGTATAATTTGTGGGGAAATATGTACATTTCTCTCTCCTCTTTAAACCCTTCACAAGCTAGTGTTTTGTATAAACAAATCTTCCTTTTGCATCATAGCTTATTGATTTAAAAAAGTCTATATGTATTGTTTACACAAGTGAAAAGATCGTTCTTTTTTTGCTTTAATTGTAAGGAGCGCATGTATTGATAATGAGAATTTTAGAGAAAGTTTGTGTCACTACCTGCCCCGATGTGTAGATACTGTTCGTTTTGCACTCTCCGTGCTCACGGTTTTCAAAATGCGTCACAACCACCCCCTCTTGGGAACCAACGTCCTTGCTGGCTTGTGCTCGTGCACGTTCCCCCACTGATACCATCTGTCATGACCTGCCCCGCTGTGTAAATATTGTTACTCTTCTGGACCGTAAGGATCTTTGATATATATGCTGAATTAATCAATAGAGTTGTATGACAGGAATGCTGCGTTTTGTTGTCTCATCCGTAACTACTGTACTCGCATCAGTAAGGATCTTTTCATCTACTGGTTTGAAGGAATATGTGCAAGCTTTGAAAGGTGAGTCAGCTTTAGCATGCTTGGAGGGTCAATGGTGTCAATATTTACTTCTTATTAGCTTATTGTCACTTTTGATACATTTCTTTCTTTTCTGGTGTATAATAGTACACAAAAGGATACCGTAAGTAGGACAAAAGTTTATAGTAGATTTTATAACTATATTCTTCATTTCTCACTCCCTCTTTCTCTTTGTTTTCTTTTTTTCTTCGTCCTTTGTTGTGTTCACATGCCAAAATATAGAAGCTGTTTGATTATTCTTATGCTCTTGCCTGACATGTAATATATACTTCATTTTTACTTGTTAAAAAGTAGATGTTATTGTTATGTTGTTAAAAGAACAATTATAGAATTTACTGTAATTTGGTTACATTTAACTTCGGTACAGAATGGCACACATTGATGCTTCAATCAATTAATTATGCACTCATTCACCACTATATTCACTCTAGTTGAGTGTGCCATGCGCCACACGCACGCGCGCACACACACACACACGCATATATATATATATATATTGACATGTTTGCAGCCTAGTTGAGTGTGCCATTCACCACTATATAGTTCCAGCATGCTGAAACTACCCAGCCCCTGTATTTGCTTTGATTAGCTGTTTACAAGAACTACAAATGTTCAAATTTCTTAAATTGCGGAAATAATAGGTTGGAATTTTGTGCAGAATAATAAATGATGCTAATATGGAGCATGCTTATGATGGGTTGCTGTGGACATTGAGGTATGCTGCTCTACAATTACATAAAAACAATTTACCAGTTCTAATTAATTCTTCTGCATCCATAGTAAAACTTGTTGAATTTTTTTTTGGTGACACTGCTGTGTTCCATGATGTCATTTCTCCACTGAATTCCACTTGATTCTATATACCGTAGCTCTGCTTTAACACTTGTGATACTTAATGCATTACCTGCATCCTTAGGTGTCTGCAGGGTCTGTCTTCAGTGCTGCTGCTCCCATCTTTGAGAGTGGAGATTTCACCAGGTTCATCCTTCATCTCAAAAGAGGTATCTGGTTTATTTCTTTCTTTTCTTTTTTAAATAATGTATCTTTAAATTAGAGAAAACAGTGATGCCTTCATTATTATATGTATCTATGATATGGGATATTGGCTTTGAGCTGAACGAAATCATCTTTAAACTGTGCTTTTTACGTCTATTAGATGAGTTATTGGGCACAGGTCTCCAGGAGTGAGACATACAATGCTGTAAAATTTTAACACTGCTTTATATAACTGCATTTTTATTTCAAGGGCGCATTAGGTTGAAGTGAACCAATGTTATTTTGTATAATTTTCTTTTCTATTACTAACAATTGACCTTCTTTGAAGTGAGTTCTGGACTACTGTATTAATGCAAGGAAAATGTTGTTCTCAGCTATGTTTCTCACTGTTTAAAATGTATATTGTATTGTGTAAAAGTGACCATTATACATGGCGTTGGCATCTGGGCATGTCAGTTAATTTTGATTTCATTTCTGTTATGTTATTCTTAATTAAAATTTAATTTCTTAAACATGTCTTAAAATGTATAGTCTCATGTATTTCAATAAGTGATGAACATTTCGTCCATTTTGATATATAACGATGCTTTTCAATCTTCCATGGTATTTTCAATTTCTTTTCATTTGTTGGTAAATGATATCTTCCAAATGTCTTGGACAACCGATGTTATTTAGCCATCAATTTGTGTCTTTGTGTTGTATGAAAAGAAACTCAAACCTTTTTTCCTAAGCAGAAAATAATTCTGTTGTGGACATGTTTGTCTATGTTCCACCATGGATTCTATACCATTCTACCAGCCAAACAAACCCTAAAACAATAAAGTATTAAAATATCCTTAAAATTACTAAAATAGCCATAAGTATAAATAAAACCCTAATTTACTAATATCCCTAATTCTATCTTTCTTTTCCCCTTCTCCAATGATAAGTGCAGGTCATATGTGGTTCTAGCTTTTGAGTTGCGCCTTGTTCTCCATCACAGGTTATATCATCTTAAGAGGTGGTCATGTTTTCTCAAGGAACACATTTACAAGCAATGTGGAAACTTTAGTGGGTTCATGTAATGGGATTGCTCTCTATGTAATACTTAGGGGCTGTTTGTGGAAAACCCTATTGCTGTATGCTGAGAGTTGTTTGACTGGGTTAATATTGGAAATAGTTTTTCAAACGTGATTAAGTTGTATGGCCATTCACAGTTATTCCGAAGTTTGGGTGTTTAACCAACTTTTCCCAAAACATCAACTTAATTTCATTAGGATTTAATGACTTAAACCTTTGGGCTTTTAAATTTATGGAGGGAGAGGAATAGAAGATCCTTTGAAGGGGAAGAGACTCCTATTTGGGCTTTTTAATTTTATGTTCTTGGCACCTTATTTTTTTTTGGATTCATGGTTGTTATAGCAAATCTATGGGGGAGATCATTTACTTTTTGGATAGTTTGAGTCTATAGTGACCTTTTGGTCTTTGTGAAGTTGTATATGGGATGCGCTCCCCTTTTGAGAACTCATCAACATCCCCTTTTGAGCACTCTTCAATGAAATCTTTACTTAAAAAAAGGGAAAAAAAAGGTTGAAGGACTTACTGTGTGGGTCTGAGTATGACCTGATCCCTTTTGCAAATTCCCCCAGCAGTTTCTCACAGTATTAAAGGATTAAGATGAATTGATTGGGAAGAATGACTTTGATTTTTAGTTTCTTTTAGCTTTTTTCTTTTCAGTTTGGGACATATATTTGAATATCATTCAATCCGGTCTTCTTATTTTGAGGATGCTTTTCATGTTTGTTGTCTAATTATTATATTATTTTCTTATTAAATCAATCTCATCTTCAAGCCCGAGGTAGGATGACCAAAATATTGTTGCTTAATAAGATGTTCTATTGAAAATATACGTTTTGTTTAGATGAGTTGATATTCTTTTCTTGTCAAGTGTTTTTCCTTTTAATGAGAGTTAGTTGACTTGTTGGAAGATTTTCTGCAGTTTGACAGAGGTTGGCATACAATATGGAGCTGTCTAATGCGCGGATTACCTATATTCAGTAATGTCTCCCCAGTTGTAAGTTTAGTTCATGGACACATCTTTGCTGTAATAAAGTAATCAGTATCTTTAGTTTGGTCTGTTTGATTAATAAAATGTTAAAGTAAAATTTTCAATGTATTGGTTTTCACTGGTACGCTCATCTTTTCACTCATTTAATTGTCATGGGCACTTGTACGGAGGAGCCATGTTGAGTTAGACACTTGTCAAAAACAACTGCCTAAATGGGTATCTGGAATACCGTGAACATTTCCATTTCTGAATTCTTTTCTTTTCTGGTTACATATCAGACTTGAATGTAAGCTATAGGGAATAGACATGCTATTGACTTGTTAGGACACATGTTTTTCTTTTCATATAATTGTATTTAATTGTCACAAGAGATTATGGTAAAGGGCTTTTATATCAAAATCTCGGGTTATCGTTTGTAATATAAGTAAGAAGCAATGGCAATTTTGATCAAGGAGGAGGAAAAATTATAGAAAAAAATGTGAGTCCATGCATTGCTGTTTCCTCTTGTTGTTCTTCCTCACTTCTTCTTTGTTTTTATGTCAGTATTTATATCATGTTGTGTCTTATTTTCACTGAGAGCTGAGCCTGGAAAGTTTTTGTTCAAAATTTTGGAATGGCTTATATCTGTAGAATAACGTTGAGTTTTAAAATTTTAGTTAAGATGGTTTTCTAAATATAAGATTCTAGAAAAGAAAGAAAAAAAGAGATTTCATGTTGTTGAGTTTGTTCATATGGGATAAAGGTAAGAGTGATGATGTTGGTTAGCTTGTTTAAAAATGCTTTGTTGAGTGAGTTGAGTACGGTTAGCTGTTGTTTAAGCTGCCGCTATAATTGTACATTATTTTTGGTTTTTGTACAGGTGGATACTGCTTTGATGCTCCTCAGGGACATAATTTTGAATGTGAGTACCCTATTCTATCTCATGCATTAATTAACTTGTTTCACATTCCACCACATGGTATGATATTGTCCGCTTTGGGCTCAAGCCCGCACAGTTTTGCTCTTGGGTTTTTCCCCAACAGGCCTCATATCATTTAGAGTGTGCCAATCCTACATATATAGCATTATTCCCTTTCCACGCCCAAGCGACGTGGGATCGTGCACCCGTAGCCTGCGAGCATGGTAGCCTGCTAGTGTCTTCAACCTACCCACAAAATCGCCACAATCCACCACCCTAAGTGGCCCGACGGCCCTGTCGGCACACTTTCGGATGGGTCATTTATAACGACCCACTCCACCACATGGAATGATATTGTCTGCTTTGGGTCCAAGTTTGCACGGTTTTGCTCTTGGTTTTATCCCAAAAGGCCTTATACCATTTGGAGTGTACCAATCCTACATTTATAGCACTTCCCCTTTCCACACCCAGGCGATGTGGGATCGTGCATCCGTAGCTTGCCAGTTCCTCACACCTGCCCATGCCCACCCACCCACAAGGTTGCCACATAAACCTTGTCTTCCTTGCTCACATCCATGAGTCACATTATGGATAACGTCAGATGACAACAGTTATTATGTCACATTTTGTCTGTCAGGACCCCGCGAATACATTTGTTGTACCTCAAGATGTATGGGAAATTCGGTTGTTCAAGCGTTTGCCGTCAATGTAAGTATGAATATATGCACACATGCTCGTAAATCCTACTTCCTTTTGTATTAAGCGTTTTAGTTTTGTGGTTCTTACATCTCCACCAAGTGCGATGTATACTTGATTTTGATACTTCTAATGTCAGTGAAATGTTCTCTCTAATTGTGTGGTTTTGATTCCTATCCAGGTCAGTTTTGTGCTTCATTTCAAGTTATTTCTCAAGAAGAGGATCTCAAGTAAATGTCTCCAACTAGCTTTTTCTGGGATTTCTTTTTCCTTTGTCTCATGTTTGTAATTGTAGCATTTGTTTCAAAACCATTAGAGCCCTTTTCATTCTTTTAGTAGTTTAAGTAATGTGAATTAAAAGCATGATCTAATTATCAATACTTCAGAGAGTTTTTATTTTTTATTTTTATTTTTTTTACTGTTATTATAATTATTATTTTCAGCATCTCCTTCTACAAGGTCGTCACAATAATGACCAAGTGTGTGGAACACTAATTTTGTAGTTTGGTTTTGATGTTCATGGATTTGAATTGCCCAATGCAGTGGTTTGCTTTATGATGGTGTTGCGTCATCAATTCATCTTTTTTGTCATTAATTGATAATATGGCGATTGTTAAGTGAAATGATGAGTTAGAAACTTAAAATATGCACTTCCAACTTAAATAATGGGGATAATATGTGGTAGATTAGCTAATTGGTAATTTTGTTGAACCTTACCTCCAAAATTTAAAGAGGGATCGATTTCCGCTCTGATACCATGTTGAAAGAGAGAGAGAGAAAGAGAATATATGAAAACTTATATGTTATTGAGTAAGTAATACAATAATACAATGTTGTTTATATAGGAGAAGCTACGGGAGTAGGTGAGTGGAGAACAAGAAAACCCTATACATGGTAATTCTATATATGCTAATGATGGGTAGGTGACAACTCATACAATACTAACTGTAAACGTGTGACAACTTATACAGTACTGTACAACAGTCTCATTCACTGCTTGATTGATATTGCCCACAACCTGGTATAAGAAGCAACTTTATATGAGATGAGAGGCTGATACAAAAACTATCTTTGAAAAATCTTTTAAAATTGGGGAAAAAAAGAAAAAGTTTAACAACGAAATATATGATACAAATAGCGTAATACTTATGGCATGATCCAAAAGTACCATGATGGCCTATCAACTTAGAACATATGCTTAGATACGAAATACCCAATGTCAATGTTTTTTGGTGCATGCATTTGATTCCTAATCCATAAATTTATGACATTGAAAATGTCCAATTATGCTAAAAACATCAGGTCTTCGATTTTGTTTTGTGCAAATCATCTTGATGTTTAAAAGAGGATAAAAAATCAACCCAAGTGTCAAATTTGCTGAACCTTTTAAAAATCTATTGAATGTGTAAAAAAGTAACCACACAAAAAAAACTTAGCTTACTTAGTTGAGGGTGTTGGGAGGGACAGACTAGGTATCATTTTAACTTTCTGCATTATTTGCACAAAGTGGCTACCCGCGGACTTGGATTCTCACACTCGACAGCTTGAGCTTTTACCATTATCAAGCAATGATCACTTGTTGGATGGATACAAAAAGTGATAGTAATAAAAAGAAACTTGAATTTTCTTCTTATTTGGAGGGTTTCTTAGGGTTTGTTTATAGTCTTGCCTGTATAATGGCTCTGATGTAATCAAAATATTTAAAGTTTTATTATCGAGATTATTGAGTTTCTAAAAAATCATCTATGTTCTTCCCTAATTTTTATTCTAATCCCTCTATCTTTCTGGTCAGTCTCTTCATTCTGTTTCTCATACCTTTTTTCTTGCCTCATCTTACCATTATTTTGTCATGCATCACATGCCTATACCGTATCATGCTGATAGAGTATGTTGAAGGGAATAGGAGTTTCCTTGTAAAACTTCACCACTTTGATTATGAGTTTCTAAAAATTCTCTATCTTCTTCCCCAGTTCTTATTCTTCTAGTCCCTCTGTTTATCTGGTCTATCTATTCAATCTGTTTCACATCCCCTTCTTTTAGTCTCATCTCATAATCTGACCACAGTTTTGTCTTGCATCCATGACATGATAAGGGGAATAGGAGATTCCTTGTAAAACATCATCTATTTGCCATTCGGGATATGAATACTTTGTTCATTATTCAACCATCGATAATTTATGAAGTATGAGTGCACATAGTACCTACAAATATGACATTAGACTGATACAACATTATTATCAATTCCTTAAAAGAGGATACCAATATGAGGTGGGCATGATAATTCACACACACACACACACACACACACACCCATATATATATTTGATAAATAAGATTTCATTAAAGAGTGCTCAAAGGGGAGCACACTCCAAAAACAACTACACAAAATAAGGCAACTCAATACTCTCTATACTCGCAAGCTATCCACAAAATCTGTAAAGTCCTCCACAAATTTACAAGACTGCCCTTAAACCCCAAAAAATAAATAATTCAAAATAAAATGCTGTAACACCTAAATTGGAGCTTCAACACCATCGAAAGAACTCCTGTTCCTCTCGCACCACAAAACCCACCACATGCAAAGAGCTACCCCCCAAGTATCTGGAACCTTTTTTTTTTTTGGAAACCCGAGGCTTTGCCTCTACTAATCCCCAAGGACCCGTGTAAGGTGACCCACCCATACGGACCGGGTAAAACTCGGACTATGTCCGCGGTCATGGCCCCAAGAAATTGCTCGCACCTAAGTTGAATCGAACCTAAGACCTGAAGCTTAATGAGGCAAGTATCTGGAACTTAAGGCTCGAGCATGCCATAATACACAAATATATATATATACATATATATTGTTTCTATGTATATAGAATGGTGATTATATCATTTTGATTGAGGAAAGTAGAGGAATCATAAGTTCTAAACGAGAGGTTTGGAGGAAAACTCTAAAATGAAGAGGGTTTAAGATAAGTAGGACTAAAATTGGATATATGTAATGTAATGTTTAGTAAAATTAGAAATATAAGTGAAAATCGAGGGTCCAGAGGTACCAGAAAGCCATCTTATTTATTACCTAGACTCGATTATGGATAGAGGGATATATTGGAGAGGATGTTAATCATAGAACTAAAGAGGATGGGTGAAATGGAGGAGTGCTTTTGGAATGTTGTGTGATTGGCATATACTTTAAAATTGGAAGGTAAATTTTATATAAAAAACTTTTAAAGTAGCCATACTTTATCAGATGGAATGTTTGGGAGGCCAAAAACACATACTTACAAGATGAGTGTGATAGAAATGTGAATGTTGAGATGGATGCGTGACAACACAAAAAAGACAGAATGATTACTCATAAAATTGTTATAGTTGCACCTTTTGGTGATAAAATGAAGGAGAAACGATTAAGATGGCTCGGTCATGTGTAGCGATGAGCAATAGGTAAATTAGGAAAATTGATGTGGTCTTTATTTGGGGTAATGTTAGGGGAAGGGAAGACCAAACTAACATGGATTGAATTATTAAGGATCGATACGATAGCATGTGCTTTGGGTGAGGTTATGGCCTTATATATAGTGGAACGATGAAAAATTACTTTTTGTACCTGGGAAAGACTTTCTTGAGTCGAATATGTATGTATATTTGTAAAAAATAATATATATATATATATATATATATGCAGCTATGTTTAAATTTACACTTTCTAAGAATTATACTATGATATTGTATTGTAAGCGGTACATTCTATTATTCTTGACCTGTCAGGCAGACGTGTACTGGAGTATCTGAGAAGTATTCGATCTGTTAAAATATCATTTGAAGTTATAGATACAATTAGAATGTATTGGACACAAGTCTGTGGAAGTCATGGAGTATCAATATTACATGCCAATACGATATGGATATGATCCTCTTACAAAATTATTCCTGCTTCATAGTCCATAAATTTTTTCCTGCATCTAACCTGTCAGCTTGTTTATGACTTCTGGTTCTAGACAAAGCAACCAGAACTCTACAAACTGCAGTATCAATCTCAAAGGCAAGCGAGCGCATTGCCGGAGGAACAATACCTATTCCGGAGGTAGATCTTGCGGAAGTCCTAGAGTATTGATATTAGATGCCAATACGATATGGATATGATCCTTACCAAATTATTCCTGCTTCACAGTCCATAAATTTTTTTCCCGCATCTGTTGTGGAGATTAAGCAAGGCTCGCAACCTCAACATAAATAACCTTTTTCACTTGCCATTCAAGACATCCAAGAATTCTCAACAAAATTTAAGTCTTGAAAGAAGACTGGGAATAAGAGTACTTAGGAGCCTTCTTTAAATAGGAGACTGAGATCCTAGCTTTAACATGTCTAAATACGAGCAAGGGTTTTAAAAACATAAAGGCACTATCATGTCTGAGACTCTGAATTAATGCCATTGCATTAATCCTAGTTTTCACTTCACCTTGTATGCTATTTGAGGTCAAAAGATGGGCACTATATAAAAGAAATTTACCTTTCCTCTAACTTTTAAACCTTAAACCTACAAGATATTGGAACATTAATGCACCATATAATAAATTGTAGATTACATACTCTAGCAATGAGTTCTACCTTATTCAGCATGACTAATAATAAAGGTTTAAACTTTATAAGTTTAAATCATTCTTCAAATGCACTGACCAAAATTCATGGATGTTCGACATTTTGTTGGTGCCGTGAGAAGCTGATTCTCTGGTCTCTGTCATTTCATACGTCAACTTTTGTTAGCATTAATTAGTTGGAGCATGCATCAGAATCCTACATCTTCAACGTAGGTCACTTTACTCTCTTTGTATGTTACTTGGCACACCTGACTAATTTCTTTGTTAAATCTTAATTCATTTTGTTTACTTATTAACTTCTTCTGCATTTTATCCACTAAGATCAGCATTTTACATTAAAATGGCTTCCACGAGGCACATGAAACTTTTTAGTTAAACAAACAAATTTTAATAAGGAATTGAAATCTGCTGACGGAAAACCTTGGTCACCGCCCTTTCTGTCCTAAGCCTGATTGCTGGTTGACTCATTGAAACTGAGCTGGAGCAAAAAGCAGTGAACATTTTTAATCTTTCCTCTTGTTTGGCTTAGTTATGTATAATTCATGATTGAGTGGCACAGAACTTGGCTCATCCAGGTTATTTTGTGCCATATTGCATGATATCCTAAGACGATTCATATAAACTCGAAGCCTTTGTGCAATTTATGTCTAATAGGGTCTTTCAATTCCCTTTGAAACTTTATTTTCCTCCTTTTGAAAGGAATATGTACCATGTTGTCATGTTTTCTGTCTGCCATCTTTCTGTTTGTGTAGGGTGATCTTCGTGACATTTTATATCTCCGACAAAATCTCTTAAGAGCAGTTTTAGCTTTACTAAACAGGAAGGTAAGTTTGTTTTAAATTCTAATGAAATATAATTTTCTCTTTATTATTGTAATGTTTTCTTTAGCTACTTCAAATTTTTATTTGATTAAAAATCAAACTTGGTTGGTGAAGGTGAAATTTGCTATTGCATTGCCTGTTATTTTACCAAAATGACTTGGACTTGTATCATGATTGTATACCAATATTGCGGTGCATGGATTGCTGTTGTCCAGCTTGTTTTTTCTTTTATTTGTATGATGTGCAAATTCATATTTGGGGGCTTTGATCATATTCTAGTTCATCTGGGTATTTTGGACTTGGCTGTGTCTTTTACCTTGATAGCACAATAAATTTCTTGAAGGACCTTTGAAAATGTCTGCAACACTACTATGAGATTCCCAACTTCGATAGTTGTTGAATGGGTTAGTCGGAAGACAACACTATATTTTTTATTTTACCTTCCAACTTCTGGATACATGTAAATCTATTTTGACTCATTTTTTTTGATAAGTGTAAATCTATTTTGACTCATGAAATTATTTAGAAACCTTATCCATGATAAGGGTTCCTTGTAGGCTTTTGTTTTAGGGTGTAATTATAGGATGAAAAACGTACCTGTGAGGCCATCCACAAACACCCAAAGACGCTAATCCTTGATCTTTTTCTGATTTCCTGATCATGGAGATGTCGCTATTATCATGTTCATCTTTGGCTTTGACAAGAAACATAATCAACTTGAGGATGAGATCAAGATTTCAAATTTTAGTATCTCCTCACATGTAGAAAAGAAGCTTGTGCTGCTTGCTTATCAAAGATGTGGGACTCTGATCTTGTCTAAATGCACTAATTAACATGTTCATAAATAAAGAAGCAAGTAAAGAAAATAAACAAGGAGAAGTTCTAATGTCTTTAAAAAACAATTTTGGGATGAGAATTAAGAACAATTGTGGGGGATCGATTTTAGTAATTTTGGTGTTTTAAATTCATTTTTGTTTTATTATAATTTGACCCCATTTTTTAACGTACAAAATTTTAAATATTACAATATGAACCCCGCCGTATCCCAGAAGTATCCTCGGCGTATCCGAAATTAAAAAAAGTATTTTAAAAAATCGAATACTTCTCTGGAGTATCGGACACGTGTCCGAGCATATCCTAGGCGTATCGGTATTGGACACGTGTCTGATACCGCCACAATGCCTCCGGGGAAGTATCTGTGCTTCCTAGCTTGCCAGTAAGACTAAGAAAGCCTTGCCCATCAAAAAAGGGGGTAAAAAATCTTTAAAAACATTAGAACTTAGGATATCCTCCAGAGGCATGGGAGTTGATGGGAGTGAAATGATACATGCAACTATTATTATTATCGTTATTATTATTATTATTATTATTTATTTGTTATTATTATTATTATTATTATTATTTTTTATCTTTAAGCAGGCTATGCTTACTTCTGTTTTGTCAATATTAGCAAGGTAACTAACTGCAACTTTAAATGGAAACATGGTTCCCTTCTCTTAACAATAGATGCATTGTTTAAACTTTTATTTTATTTTAGTCTTATACCAAATTATATGTTTTCACTTCTGAACTGGGTGATGCTTATGAAATGGATTTTGGAATTTATTAACATTCTCTAAAAAAGGTACTGTTAATAATCCCGCAGGTACTGAAACCATTAAAAGAACACCCAACAATTCTTGCTTGCGATAATCACACTGCCTACTTTTTCATTTTTAACATCTGAAATAGTATTTTGCTCTTCATTTCAAAGGGAAAGAAATTGCTTTATTCATTTGATGTTTCTTTTTCCCCATTCATTACTTTCTAAGTCCTCTTCCTTGCAACCTGGCATATTATGTTAATGAAATTTTACATTCTGTTTTATTGGTGCTTTCTATTAGCTCATAATACTTTCTTATGTAGGAGTGTCCATTGTTGGATGAGCGCATGGTTGTATTGTTGCCAGCAGCTGTTTATGCTCTTTGTGCTGGTTGTTCTCCTTTCCCGCATAATCACAAAGGACTTTCCCCTTCATACTTGTTTGTAGATGTTCCTGAACCCGCAGATGATCGGATTAAGGTACACGTGGATGTTGATATTTTTCTTTTTCCTTTTTGTTTTGTTTTTAATTTTCTTACTTGAACTATTGGATCTCATTTATAGATATTAGTTTTGGCCGCTGGACTGAATTTTTATTGTGCTTCTAGGCAGAAAAACATGAGTATGAAGCGTCATATGAATTTTTTGAGTGCTCTGTGGAAGTTCTTGCAAAAATTGATCTTCGTTCTGGAACTGAGGTGCCATTTCCTTTTTCTTCTTTTAAGAAGTAATTTTGTTTTTGGATTCTTTTTTATTTTAAAATTGGTTATCATTTTTAAAATTTTCAGGTTCCCGAATCACAATGCTATCAGGCTGTACGTCTTCCCCATCAGTTAAGAGATCCGCTGCTTCATGAAATGGAAAGCAGTATTCTTGAAGCTATAGTGGACAGGGAGATTGAAAAGATGCTTTTGTCTGATGTTTTTTTTAAATGTGCTCTCTTATCTAATTTCATGTTCAGCTCCTACATAACAAGGTTTGGTTTATCTCATTTATACATTTGTTTACATTCTAAGATCAATTTTCTAAAGAATTATCAGTCTTTGCTACTTTGGTGAGGGGTAAAGTCTGTGTTAGCGCCGTGTTGTGTTCTTGAGACGAATAATTTATATTTAACTGTATGTGGCTTTGTTCAAACAATGATGTTGTTGACAAGGTTCTGTGGTTTGGTGCTTTACTAGATGCACCTACATGCTCGTTCACTTAAATGAAGCATTGGCTAAACTTAATTCCTGCAGGATTCCATTTTGTTAATCATTTTTTCTTTTCTTTCCTTTTCTTTTTCTTTTTTTTAGTTGATTATCTACATTTATGTTTAAGCTGTGGAAATCTTCAAGTTTATCATATAATATATTTGGATTAGGGTCACAATCTCACATTGAGTTTAACATTTCTTGTGATTCACATGAATGAACTTATTCCAAGTTGCGGGACTGAGCAGATTGTGACTCTATCATCTGTAACAGTTCTTAAAATGAAATCAATTCCCTGTCATTGTAGGCATAAGATTCCCAGTTCCTCATTTATTCTATATGCTTTTGTGTGTCTCTGACATACTTTTGGTTACTTTGCAGGGTAGAAGAAGAAGCTTCATCATTCCTCACCAAAATGGGCCACTGCTTGTTAAAATTGTTGGATTGTGCTATGTCTGGCATTGAGAAAAGTTACAAAGATATGAGATGTGGTTGTTTGGGCTCTGGCTCTATTTTTGATAGCACGAGCTTCATCATAACTTCTTTTGAAAGTTTTGTTTGCTCTCCTCTTTTCAAGAAATGGAGAGACCAAAATGTTGATGTCATACTCAACACAGCAATACTTCAATCCATTGAAAGGCTTCTAAAGGGTCTTTCAAAACTATATGAAGAATGTTCTGATTGCACTAGGACTCTTCAGTCTGATATAGACCTGTCAGACTTATCTTCTTCTGACACTTCTGTTCGAAATTCTTATCCATTAAATAGCAGTAAGAGTATGATTATGGACATGGAATTGGATGTGAATGAGGATTCTAAAGATGTTGATATTTTATCTGTCAGTGGAAAAATTTCTACTAGCATTTCGGTTTCTGCCATGAAGTGGAAGTTTGACATTATATCTCTAATTTCAAGTTCTTTCTCAGTTCTACCAGTTGTTACATGGGAAATCTTGTTCAACCTAATGAAAAAAGAAAATGATCCAAGGGTATGTCATGGGCTGATTTACTGTTATTTGTCAGCTGATATTCCCGCATATTATATATATATATATATATATATATATATAAACATTTAATTTTTTAACACTTTTATTCTTGATTAGGTGCTTGAGAAAATTGTATTCAATCTCTGTCAACATCCTCACTGGTCCTCTCCAAAAAAGTTTAGAGACTTGGTAATCTTACTAATTTGGTACTGATTGCATAAACTTACAAGAAGATGAGAAAGTACATGCTACTTCTTGAGGTTCTTCTGCACCGTATCCTTGTTTAATTATTCATAGTAATACTTGTCTTTTGTTTTTTGCAGGTTATATCAATCAGTGATATGGTAGATATGCAAGCAAACCTTAAACTCCAGAATTTAAATATACTAGCTGCTATTTGTGTTTTGCAACGGACCCTAATCTCCTTGGAAAATGTTGGGAAGGATAAAAATGTTGATCTACCTTCAATGGGGATAGTATCTGAACAGGTATTTCTGGTGTCTTGGTTTTATTTAGAAATGAATTAGTGCACCCTATATAATTAAAAATTTGGCATCAATTTATTACGTCTTTGCTTTTGATAAAATGTGAAATTTTCTGAAAAAGGGCTGAAATGTTGAATGGAAGTATATATGAAAAGGATGAAGCAGAGTCCTAAGGAAATTGGGGGAAAGAGAGAGACCGAGGTAGACTAATCAAATGCCAACCAGGACAAAGCCATTTAAAATTAATATTTGGAAATGCAGTTCCCAATGAAGCACTACAAGGACATAGCAGTCTGTACTTATGTGCATGCTTTTAAACTGCTCAAACTAGGTATTACTTGAGAGGTGGCTCTCAATGAATAACTGTTGGGATAGTGGAATCGCACAAACATTGAGATCCAATGAAATCCAATAAAGCATTCACACACAAACAAAAGATATAATGTGATTCGGCTTAAACTGGCCTACATCTACGGATGAGAAGAGATTCCACTATGATTTGTGAAGAGATATTACGACGATAGAATACCTACACCGTGTACATGGTAACACTCCACGAGCCTATCTCCTTGCCACCATTGCCACCGGTGTTTTTCCTACGCCTAATCAACTCTCTCATGAGACTATATCTCTCTCAATCTTGCAAGTCTCAACCTATAACCTAGGTACCTATTTATAGTCCTAAAATACAACTAGAAACCTAATAAGAGTAGGAATTTGAGACACATTCCCATCAATGACTAGTATCCATAAAGTTACTAAAAATGCAAATTGTGCTGCCAATTCTTTAAGCAAGTTCGCTAGGACATTTTCCTTTCTTTAGAACGTGATATGGACCCAAGATTTTAGGTTCAGTGCTGCATTCAATTGGGTTGGATTCGAATACAAAGTTTTATGATACATTGCTAATATGTTCAGGAAGAAGAAAATAATTTAGTGAAGTGCCTTCAAGTGTTAAAAAAGGGGACACGCTTGTGCTAAGTGATATTATTTCTCTTCTCCGAACTTCTTTTTGAGGATTTTTCTTGAGTGAGAAAGTGAAGATTATTGGTGTTGTGTTTTTTTTTGCAATTGCTAGGTTCAATGGGAGCGAAAGGTGTGCTGTGATATGTGGGATCAGACATAAAATTATAACTTTGGTCCAGAGTTAAGAATAACTCAGAGCGATCTTTCATTAGGAACAACTGAACAACCAAGTCATGAGAGAATAATCATCCACAAATGTCTCAAAATAGTGAAATTTATTGATTGAATAATTCTTTATTGGACCCAATACATCTGAATGAACCAAATGAAACGGACTAGACACACGACGATGTTTACTAAGCTGACAAGCTTCACATAACAAAAACTTTAAATGACTAAGACTAGGAACTTGACGCTGCAAATCAGGAAGTGATGGGTGACCAAGACGATAGAGCCACTGGAATGGAGATGGAGAAGACTGAAGGACCATAGGCTCAAAACCAAAGCTGTATAAGCTAAGAGATTAATGCTCTGCACCAATCTTCTTCTTTGTCGTGAGATCCTACAAAACACAAGTAGGATAAAATGTAACAGAGCACTAGAGAGATTTAGCAAGCTTACTAATAGACATCAAACTAAAGGGGAATTAAGGAACATATAAAATGGATGAGAGACAAGGAATCACCAAGTTGAGTTGTCCCCAAACTTGAAACCTTAGTGGATGAACCATTAGTAAGAGTAACACTCTGAGAAGGAGCTACAGAATGAAAGTCAGATAAATGACGAGAAACATCCAGGATTGCTTCTCATAGGCAGGCCATGGTGGTTGACTGTTATCATCTTGATACTGAGAGACTGACTGGGATGTTCAGTTTAGGAGGCATTTTCAGGATTGGGAGATTGAGGAGGTCACTCGCTTTTTGGATTTGTTGTACCGCCAGGTGATTACAGTTGGGGATTCGGATTGTTGGCTTTGGGATTCTAACTCTCTTTTGCTTGGCTTTGGAGGTCCTTTCCCTTGGAAGTCTATTTGGCGGTCTAAGGCTCCTCTCAAGGTGGCCTTCTTTCCTTGGACCTCTGTCTTGGGTAAGATTCTTACTCAGGATAATTTGAGGAGAAGGAATCAGGTGGTGGTTAATTGATGTTATTTGTGTCGGAGCGATGAGGAGACTGTGGATCATCTTCTGTTACATTACAACATGGCTAGGGATTGTTGGGATTTATTGCTTGGTTTGTTTGGGATCCCTTTGGTCATGCCTCGCTCCTCTAGAGGGTTGATTGAGGCTTAGAGAGGTTTCTCAGTGGGGGCTCTCATTCAGGATGCTTGGAGGGCTGCTCCTCTTTGTATTTGGTGGTGTATTTGGCTCGAGAGAAATCGGCGCTATTTTGATGGAAAGGAGAAGCCTTCTTCTATGCTTATGTTTTCTATTATTTCCACCCTTTTTTGTTGGGTTTCAGGGAGAGATTATAGATCTATAGAGGAGATTGTTGTTTTTTTGGCCTCTTTGAAGGCTTGAGGCGCTTTTTGGTCTTTTTTTTGTCTTTGGGTTTTGCTCCCCTTCCGAGCGCTTTCTTTATAAATTTTTACTTATTAAAAAAAAAAAAAAAAAATCCAGTTAGATGATCTTATGCTCCAGAGTCAATGATCCAAGGGCTATGAGTTGAAGACAACAGACATGTGTGATGCAGTACCTGACTGGGCAAAAGTAGTCATGGAAGATGAAGTAGATGTCACTGTTGAGACAGAATCTTAGCACACTCATCATCACGTGGGAGAGTGACCATATCAGATTTAGCGGCATGGCGAGAACCAGAAGATGGTGTCTACGAAGAAGAAACATCATACTTGGAGGAAACTTGATTCGCATAAGTAGATGGTTTGCCATGAAGATCCCATCAAAATTTCACAGTATATAAAATATAATTTAGGCTATGTTTAAAGAAAGTTAATTAACCATTAAGCCTTATAAGCAGTCTAACCCCAGCCCAACGCACCCCGCCCCAACCCAACCAACATAACGTGTATATTTATTGTTTCTTTAATTTAAGTGGCCCAGAACCCAAGCCCATCTCCTACTCAGCCCACCCTAAACCCTATTTGACTTTCTCAATTACGATTTCTTACTAAACTGATACACAATCCTAGCTACATAGATGGAATCTTTCCTATTACCTTCTCTTTCTCTCACACACACAACCCTAGCCACAGATGAGTTTTGCCAACGGTTCTACTCGTCTTCCTCCAGTCTATTCCTCTTCCTCCCGTAAGTATTTGGCTAGTCTGTGACGTCAAATCTATGTAATAGGAAAGATTCCAGTCTCTCTAAACCAAAGGTTTAAAACCAGTCTCTCTTTGTAATCAAATTCCAGCAGAAAAGAAGTAAGAATTGCATAAGAACAATTTCACACCCACCCACAATATTTTTTTTTTTGATAAGTAAAATGTATTAGAAAGCGTTCAAAAGGGGAATGCACTTGTAAGTTAATACACATCAACAGCAAAGCTAAATTTTTGAGAAATTTATGTAATAATTTATTTTTTGAGATTGTTGTGTTGTCTAAATCTCTGTACCCCAACACACACATATATGTGTATGTATATGATAGTGTCACACACACACACACACACACACACACACACACACATATATATATATATTTTCTTGTAGAGTAATTTAGATCGTGAACGCCTTCGAGCTGATCTCAAACACTGTGGTGTGAGCTTGGGCCAAGCTCAAACACCATGCTCTAACAGCCGAGCCTAGCCCAAACAGCCCTTTACTCGTCTAGATTACAGCCCTAACCACATTCACGTCATCATGACGACCACATGTGGAGCCCCCCCCCTACCCCCAAGCTGACCGTTCACCACTCTGCTCACAATTCATATCTGAGGTGTCATTAGATAGTGTAGCTTGCTGAAGCCTGGAAAACACATCAGCAAGGGATGAAAGTTTCGGATTACCCAAAATCTATGCACTAATAGGCCAATACGCCAAGGACAAACTGTAAGAAATTGAACAACATTGAAGTCCTTGCATTGTTGCGGCATACTTCGAACATCAGAATTAATTTGCTGCTACATATTCAACTCCTAACAGACACCCATAACTTTTTAAAATTACTCTTCTAAACTCTCTTTACCCTCTTCAAGGCTTAAGTAATAAGTTCTGCTTACACAACTCATATACACGGGTGATTTTATTAGTACCAGAAGCTTCAACCGCTCCCATATTTCATTGGCAGTATACAAATAAAGTAATGTTGAACTGATTTGGGGTCCAATACTAGATAACATCAAGGAGATGATCTGAGCATCCTCCTTTTCCCATGCATCAAAAGATGCACTAGTTCTCTTTGGTTGGGTTTAGTCAGATGACTATCAAGGTATTTGGCTTTGAGAAAAATTTCAACAAATTTAGCCTACAATATGTAATTCTGTCCATTGAGTTTAACAAAGTAATGGGAGAATAAAAGGAAGCCGTGGAAGAGAACAAGTCCGAATTGTATGCCATACGTAATTGTTTAAAGATATAAAATTTGAAGAAAGAAATTAAAACATGAAGAACACGAGAATATAACGTGGTTCAACCACTAGGGCTTACATCCACGACACACAAAGCCCAAAGGGTTTCATCTCTTTCATTACTTTCTCTCTTGATTTTCTTTACAATAACCACCTCTATTTATAGGTGAATTTGGGAAGACTTGTAGTTAGAGAAAAAAAAAAAATTCTTGCTCTACAAGTATTTTATAATAAAGGAATTATACATAAAGTCAAATACAAAATTGGTAACAAGTTGTTGCCCAAGTGTATCAACGTTAACATTCTGTTAAGGAGTGATTTACGGGCTTAAATCACTCCTCTAATTATTCTCCAACACCCCCCTCAAGTTGGTACACGGAGATTGAAGTCTAGTTTCCAACTTGAAACTAAGTATAAAGTTGTCGAGAGTCTGAGATGAGTTGATCTGGAGATCCAAGACAAGTTGATCCGAAGATACGAGGTGAGTTGATCCAAAGATCTGAGACGTATTGATCCGAAGATCCAAAACGAGTTGATCTGAATATCCGAGAGGAGTAGAGTATAGAGTAGGGTATAATAAACCTACTCTGATACTATGTTAAATACCATCTTTTGGACTAGATGGTAGTTAACAATAATCAACCCACCGGAGAACCAAAAAATATTAGCCAGAAAGGACTGATCGGCTGGAAACTTGCTAGTCAGACCAGATGGAAGGAGAAAGAAGAAACGGAAAACCAAGTGTGCTGACTTGAAATCAATGAGATCTAGCCTGGTAGAAATAGATGGATTGAATCAGGTTAAAAGGACGATCAAATGGATTGAATCTGGTTGATCTAGTCGGGGTGATCTGAGTAACGGTCAGGTTGGGCTTTGTTTTTCTTTGTTATTTGATAAAACTAGTCTGGTTGATCTGAGTATGTAACAGTCGGGGTTAGTTGCATCACCAGGGGTAGTGTTTCCAAATGGCTGATAGCGGCCCCCCAACACCCCCCCCCCCCCCCCCCCCCCCCCCCCCCCCACACACACACACACACACACACACACACGCACACACCACCACCACCACACACACACACACACGAGCAAAGGGAAAAAAAAAGGACAAGAAGAAAAAGGCAAGTTGTAAGGATCAAACTATTTAATTTCTCTTACATGTACATTAGAAGTAATAGAGGTCATTGCTTGGTGCAGTTGTTAAAGCTTGATCTGTTGTTTGTGTGCGATGCAGCCATTTCATGTAAATTATGCCATATGTTAGTTTGTACCTAGTTTGTCACTCCCAAGTCTCAACGTCCTCGAGTGATGGGAGATATTTTTGGGTCAATCATCCAATCCCCTTGCTTGGGAGGAGTCAAATGAAAAAGCTAATGGTATCAAGCGGTGTGTATTGCTTTTCTTTTAAAAAGAATCATACGCGGATTAAGTTAGTCCTCTAGACAGGTGGCAAGATGGGCTATAGAAACACTAAAGAATGTATTGAATAGCTATTTAAGAGGCAGTTGTTCTTTTATATCTTCCTCGAAATTAACTCCATCTTGTCTTAAGTGGAGAAAGTTGATAGAGGTTTTCTCTCAGCTCCATGGTTCTTTTTGAAACCTGATTAGAGTCCATTTGGTTTAGATGCAAACCATTTATGCATGAACCAATGTGTTTCCGGGGCCACTGTGCAAACATTGGTTGGCTTTCAAGGAGCAGGTAGAGACATTCCTTATTCTTGACTACAACATTTTACATGAGCTTCTATCTTCTTTGGTAGAATTTCTACTTTAAATCTCTTTATCTTCGTTTCGTCTATCAAATCTTTACTTATTTGTGCCTATTTATTATCTACTGATTGCATTGTAGTGCTTTTAGAGCAAAAATTCTATTTTGATTGTATGTTACACGTGATTTGGTTTTAATCATGACGAGATTGTAGAAAACAAAGAGGAAAATTTATTTCTGGGGATTTGTGTTTTATGAATATGTTAACAGAGAGACCTTCTTATGTGACAATTACTAACTATTCGAAATTGATTTGCAGAGTTTGACATCTCTTGGCGATCTGGTCAACCGAGTTGTGGAAAATGATCTTTTTGATTGGTTTGGTCGCACCAAGTTGATTGATTGCATATGCAATCTCATATTACTCAGACCTCAAATTGGTCAGGTGATTATTGCAACAAAGATGATATTCGTAGTATTATGCTCTTAACCTGACAGCATATTCCTAGATTTAAGCACCTGAACTGAATATAATTTTGTGAGTTGATGGGTCCTTTGTCTTGTTTCTCTTGCATTTGTGTATTCTTGACTTACTATTATAACTTTTATGACTTGGCTAGCTGACTGTAATTTTAGAAGGCCAAAAGTGGGATATTATGTTTCTGTTAATGTTTGTTTGCCTTTTTTTAAATTACTTCAATTGATTCCTAATCTAATGGCTTTGAATCATTGTGTAACATGTTTTCCTGTGATATCCTTTAAATAGACCATGATTGAAAAGCTGCTCATGATGCTTCGGGATCCTGATTATCGAGTTAGGCTTTCCCTGGCAAGATGGATTGGCGTTCTTTTCCAAACATGGGATGGGCATGATGAGCTCTTCCAGGATATATGGTAGGGTGTGAAGAATCCTTATTTGATCAACTTTGTATCATCAATTTTGTTGGATAAGTTTTATGCATCTGGCACCCCCATTATTGTGACGTACTTTTTTTTTGGTCATGGCCTTACCTTATTATTTTGATCTCCATGTCTCACTTTCTATACTTTGATATTCTAATTCTCATTCTATGTCACTGTTGGATGTTGATATATAGCTCTTTTAACATTAGTTTGCCCAGTAAGTGAGTTGAATTCCAGAAGACGGCCTTTCCTACCTTGAATAAATGTTTGTTCCATTTAAGATGTGAGAATTTCTGTTCGCTGGGAAAAAAAATTGTCATTTTAATTTTGTTCCTGTTTGGGACCCATGTGCATCTAGCTCTGTACTTTTTTTATTTTAAAATGATTCTTATTTCTGCTTTGTTTCTATATGGATTCCGAATTTCTTATATAACCCACTTTTCCTTATACAACCTCAACATCTGTAATTTTACTCTGCTTCACTAGTCTATCAATTGACAATTTATCAACCAAGATAGGATATATATATATATATATATATATATATATATTTCGCCATCCTATTACCATTGGTTTTATCCTCATCTTGACACTTGCTTGTCATTTAATGTTCCGTAACCAAAATTCGTTCCGTACTTTGGATGCCGTCTATCTTTGATTGTGACATTCTATTTTGGATGTGAAGTCCTCTATAAAATTTTGTTACAGTTATTCTATAGTTCAATGGTTGTTTTGGGGTGTAGGCTTTTGTCAAACAGTAATAGAGATGCTCTGGAAACACAAATGAAGTGGAAAAAGATTTTGGAAGTTCAAATTGGCATATGAGTAGTTGGAACTATACTGTTAAACTCTCTTATATTTAATTATAACCTAAAAATTGATGAATTGGTGGTGTTGTTGTGTACAGTACACAAAAATTTGAGGCAGCACAGAAGCGAAGATCAACAAAGAGTTCTGACATTGAAAGACTTGTGGAAAATTTGATGAACTTACAAGTCAATTGTGTAATGATTTATAAGTGGAAATTTAAAATATTAACTATGAACTGTTATCATACAATACAAGTGTTGATGAATGTTGATAAGTAACCTAATCACACATTATATTGGCCAATGATTTGTTTTTGGGTTGATCTCAGCCAAACATTTGATTATGTACTGGAAAAGATTGGGTACGAAACCTTAGACAATTCTGTTTTGCTGTTTCTCTGTCCTGTCACAACCCTACCTCTATTATGCATGTGTCTATATTAAGCATAGATGAGATGACATAAAACATATAAGTGGCTGGTCAGGAAGTTGCATAAATTGTTCGTTGCAACTTAATTGATTTGACCAATCTGTACAAACCTGATTAGCCCTGCATCTGAGTATGCCTTAAAAAATCGAAGTTGAATTGAGGCTGTGTTGGCAACTTTAAATGATTGTTAGGTTGAGTTAGGCCAGGGCAAAGGATGACATATTTTGGCTGAGCTCAAGTGAACATCCAACCAGAACCAACCTACCTGGTTTGCAGCCCTCTATCCGTACAATGCATAATTTAGCAATTAATATCAGCTTTATACTTTTTAATTGTTGTAAAAAAGGATTATCTTGTAGTACATCAAAAGAGAAAAATATGGCTATGGATACTTGTTCATACTTCATATTATAATTACAATATCAAAATGAACCACCGGGCCATTGGCCCAGGTGGTATAAGCTCACTTCTCGAAAGGGGAGATGAACGGTTTGAGCCCCACATGGGCCAATGTGTTGTATTTGGGTTTGTGAATCTGTTGCTTACCTTCCAACAAACAATATCAAAATAAGCGAAAGCCCTTCAATATAACCAAAAAATTTCAGTTTGCTAAGGGAACATATTACAGTTCTAAAAAGTAAAAGGTAGTAGGTACAAACGTTTAGCATATTTGTCTTTACTGAAATTTATTAAACTAGTATTATGCCACATTCTTATTTGCTTGGGATGGATCAATTTCATTATATTGCTTTCTGTGTGAGCATGAGTGATACTTGACATGCTTTTCATACTTATTTATTGAAAATGGTTTTTCAGTAGTAAATACTTGAGCCTTTTGTCTGTTATTCCAGTTCAAATTTCAGTTCAAAGTTGGTTGTTTCGTCAAAAGGAAAAACTGTCACAGCAAAGGAGGTCCTAGCCATTGGTCCTCAGCCCCGTCCAACATTGGAAACCATTATTATTACTCTCATGCATCTTGCATTTTTCAGCGAGAAGATAGAGCTGGAGGTATGTATATTTTCATTGGGAGTTGACATCATAACACTATTTTTTTTAAATGTTAAATTTGAACATCTTTGACAAGAAAGATGAAATACAACACTAAGCGTTGGTTCTCCAAAAAGTAACAAGCACTAAACCCACACTAGGCAGAAGATGAGGCAAAGGCTAATAAAATAATAATCAATAACTTAAGAGGATGTTCTTGATTGCTGGATCATTCCTTTTATTTAATGTTATATTATATGACAAAATGATATCAGGTAATATTAAAATAACATAATATTATATGAAAGAAGATAATATTTCTATAAATTGATCATATGGTATAGTTTTATTATATGAATATATAGTAATATTTATATGTGATATTGTATTATATTTTTCTCAAGTCCTATTGTTTCATTTATAAAAAAAATTAGTTTAGTATATACATCTATCCAAGGCCAAGAATCTCTGGGAGAAAATGTCTGCAAAAATTATTCAAGTCCAACATTTAAACGAGTGTAACAGAACACTAAACAGAACACCCCATTCTTGCATACTAAATGTAGTACTAGCATCCTTACCTTTTTAAAATTTCTTCTTCACTCATTTGCAAACTATATGTTTTCTAACTGTATTATATATTTTATAAACTTTGTAACTTTGTGGTTAAATATCTGCAATCAAATTCTTATTTGGAAATATCACACATATTTTAAGAATTCCTAAAGATTAATGCTTTCTGTGCCTCCCCCCCTGCTCCACCACCTGTTTTTGTGTTGCTATTCTGTACTTTTTCTTTTGTCAATGGGTTAGCCTTTCTTGTCCTTTTTTTTTTTTTTTTGATAAGTAAAATTGTATAAAAGTGCTCAAAAGGGGAGCAAAAGCTAAGAGAATTACACAAGGCCAAAAAGGGCCTCTAAGCCTTCAAAAAGGCCAAAAAATCAACAATCTCCTCTAAAGTCTAAAGATCTATAATTTCTCCCTAAAGCCCAACAAAAAGAGTGGAAATAATAGAGAATTTAAGCATAGAAATAGGCATCTCCTTTCCTTCGAAATATCTCCTATTCCTCTCGAGCCAAATACACCACCAAACACACAGAGGCGTAGCCCTCCAAGCATCCTGAATATGTGCCCCCACTGTACAACCTCTCCAAGCCTGAATCAACTTTATAGAGGATTTAGGTATAACCCACTGAATCCCAAACAAACCAAGCATCAAATCCCAACAATCCCTAGCCATGGTGCAATGCAAAAAAAGGTGATCCACTGTCTCCTCATCACGTAGGCACATGTAACTATAGTTGACCACCACCTGATTCCTTCTCCTCAAATTATCTTGGGTCAAAATCTTCCCCAAGACAGAGGTCCAAGCAAAAAATACCACCTTGAGAGGAGCCTTGGAACGCCAAACAGTATTTTATGGGAAAGGATCTCTAGGCTTCTTTGTGAGACACCTGAAGAAGGACCAAGCATCGAAACGACCCTGAGAGGTAGGGACCCAAATCCAGCCATCAGAATCTCCAACCGTAATCTCCTGGCGATACAACAACTCCAAAAAACCAATGGCATCCTCAATTTCCCAATCCTGAAAGTGCCTCTTGAAACGAACATCCCAAGACGATCTCCCACTATAAAGATGATAACAGTTGACCACCATGGCCTACCTATCCGTAGCAATGCTGAAGAGCCGTGGGGAAGTGAGAGCAAGAGAACGATCCCCACACCAAACGTCCTCCCAGAAACTGATCCTCCTACCATCCCTGAGTCGAAATCTAATATGTTTGGAAAACTCATCCCACCCCTTCCGAATGAATTTCCAAACGCCCACACCCCCTGGACCACGCACCTCAAGAGTACTCCACTCTCCTCTACTCTCCCCATATCTAGTTGCTACAAACCTCCTCCAAAGCCTATGCCTCTCCACCCCAAACCTCCACAGAGGCCTGAAATTTGTAATGTGTCAAAAGGCATGGCATCTGAAGTATTTTGCCTGTATGCAACATACAAGTTGCTTCACTCTTGATTTATTAATATTTTTTTCCATGGTATTGTACTTGTTTTTTTCAAGAGCTCTTAAATCTTGGTCGTTTATTTAGTGGGATTTTTTTCTTTGGTTCTTGTTTCTCCGTCCCAGAATCAAATAGTTCACTAGTCTCTAATCTAGGTTGCATTCGTGTTGCTGGTTCTCATAATACAATATATCTTCTTTCACCTATATATCTTTACCTTTTCCTTTAATTTTATTCGAGTTTTGATATTTAAATTAGTATGTCATATTCTCGTGGTGATATCCAATGGCACATGCAGGCTGTTTTTATGATGTGTGTGATTTCAGCAATAGATCCCTGTCAGAGGTACAATATTTCTTCTGTCTGTTGTTGTTATTATTAGCCATGGTTTGTTTATTTAAAATAGCCATACTTTTTCTCCAGGGAATTGGTCAGTGCTGTACTTGATAATCTGTCAAGACAACTCAAGTATACTACCAGGTCAAAGGTGAGAATATATTTCTCATCTTGTTACTTTGATTTAGTGAATAAGTGACCATGATGAGTTGGAAATAATTAATGCACATTGGTCTTGGAGTACAATCATCTAAAAGTAGTCTGTAATCAGATTACTTAATTTCACTGGCTTCAATTTTCTTCATTCCAACTAGAATTAATTTATTTAATTTTCTTTATTTTTCAGTACTTGGAGGAACTCATTGGATCAATTCTCTTCTGTTGGGTTGCTTGTGGTGTAAGCTTAGTTTCACTTCTTGAGGTAATGTGGTCATCTCTCATCCTGTAGGTATCTGAATATGACTGAAATTTCTGAAGTTTCATACTCCAGCTTATAATTTTATTTGTTGTTCTTTGCAGATAAGGGATCTTTTTGTTTCGAATATGGAGCCTAACAATTTTGTGAAGTACTGTTGCCATTGGCTTCTTCCAGCTCTAGTTTTGCATGGTGATACCTCCAACCTAAACTGGGTTGCTAAGGTTGGAGGAGTTAACTTGGTTTCTTTCTGTTTATGATTTACTAAATGTTGGCGGGAATGGCTAAAATTTGCATTGAAATGGTTATCGACTTGATTTTGCCTTTTGACTTGATTTAAGATTGGTTTTTGCTTTTTGGTGCCTAGATAGCGAAAAGATTTCATCAGAATTGTTATTGTTTCTTCTCTGCCACCGGCAGAAAATAAATTGAAGTTGAAGATAGCTCTGGCAACTTGCTAACTTGTTTATGTTGTGTATATTTTACCATTGGATAAGGAATTGGATGTTGTGTTAATACTTCTTGCATTGGTTTATCTTGCAACTCTTTTGTCATTTTATGTTATGTTTGTTGTCTTGTGTATTTGTGTTTTTATTTCCCAAACCTGCTTTTTTACTTTCAGGTTGCTGGTCAATCTTTGGCAGTCCTGGTTAAAAATCATTTTGTGCCAATCTTTTCAGTTTGCATGGCTTTGCATTGCAGTAAGAAGTCCGGGTGGGAAAAAGGAGCAGTGGTACTTCAGAGTTCAATATTAAGAACTGCTGAGATATCTGAGAATGAAAGAGACAAACTCATAAAGAAGCAAATGGTTTACCCCTCTCTCTCTGTGTGTGTGTGTGTGTGTGTGTCTCTCGCAGTAACATTTAAGGTATCTAGTTTTATGACAAAATGAGTGGTGGCATTAATTGTCAGCAGGTTTTGTATGTCTTACCATGTTATAGTAGTTTGGAGTTTAGATATTCTTGTAGCTGTCATGACCAGCCCAAACCGTGTAGATATAGTTCGCTTTGCACACTCTCTCCTCTCGGTGCTTAAGGTTTTCCTCTACATGCCGCCCCCACCCTCCCCCCCCCCCCCCCCCCCCAACAACAACAACCACGTGGAATGTCACAATCACCCCCTCTTGGGACCCAGCGTCCTCGCTGGCCTGACCCGCATGGGCTTGGCTAGGGATTGGCTCTGATACCATTTTGTCATGACCTGCCCCAACCCGTGTAGATATTGTCCGCTTTGCACACTCTCTTGTTGCCCATGGTTTTCCTCAAAACGCCTCTACATGGTTAAGGGATGTCCACACATATAAGTCTCTAACAACTTCTCCCAAAGGATGTGGGACGTCACAGTAGCAACAAGTATATGTTTGTACTATATAAATACAATAGCTATCGGCACATGCATGTAGATGTATATAATTAAAATTGTATATGTTTGTGGGTCAGAATACTTTTGTTTTTCTGGAGAGAAAAAAAAAAAAAAAAAATCATGTTCTAAAAGGGTACAATTGACATAGTGAACTTACTACCGACTAGCATTTTGTTAACTATGATTTGTAGATATGGACAAAAGTCTTCTATTAACATGGACGTAGAATGTCTGATGAAGTGATCCCCTAGACATGGTCGTTTTATGTGCTTATGTATATTTCTCTGTATATTTTTGTTAATACTTTTAAATATTTATTTTCCTGCTTATCATTTGTTTTCTTGCATTAGAGTTGTTATTTGACAAGGTGAAAATTCTCCTTCTCAATTCGTAATAGGGTTTGATTCTGTAAAGCTTTATAGTAATCTTTGGATTTACATAGAGATGTAAAACAGGGAGGTTGTTCAAAAATACTGAAAACCTGAAAGTAGAGAAAAATACTATTATTTTAGTAAAGTTCTGAAAGTGGCTATGCTTTTATTCATTTGAATAAAATTTGATTGTTATCCCTCCCCTCTTTGATTTCATGTTAGTTAAGTTTTAAGTCAAAAGCTAGGGTTAGAGAAATGATAAAGTAAAAGGGAAATCAAGACAGAGAGCAAATTGGGGCTTTACAGATGTAGCATTAAGGCTTTATATCTTTCCCATATAATTTCTCTGAACTGAATCCTCTAGGACACAAAGGAGAATATTTCTTCCTTTAGGATGGAGATCACAACATGGTCAAGAAATGGAATTTTGTTGTTACATAAAACATATAGAATCAATAAGAATTTAAATCAAGACATGATTCACGAATGTTCGGAAGAGTGGTGAAGCGATTGCTATATTGACTGTGATATGGTTATGGATTAGATTTGCTGTTAAAGTTATTTGTTCGTTTTCATGCAGTCAGTTATATAAAGATGGCTGTAACATTTTGGTAGATCTCATTTGCATTTTAATTTTTACTTTCTTTTTCATTGGAAAAAAATTTCTATTTATGAAAATATATTTATTTTTCCCACTTTCTCATGTTTCATGAGAAAAATATATTTCTTTGGATATAGAAACTTACTTCTTTTTCTTTTTTTTTTTTCCTTTTTTTTTTTTTTTTTTTTCTTCTTCTTCTTCTTCTTCTTGGGACTGAAATATGGATCTGCAAGAGATTGTTTTAATATGAGTACTATATTTGGCTAGTATTAGAAACTTCTGTCCATTTTGCTGAAATGATCAAATTTGGTTCTTCTTTTGACAAAGCATATTAGTTGTTATGATGTTAATCATAGTTTATATAAAATTGGGTCTATGGTCATATTTTTTTATAAAGTGAACTTGAATAAATAGTTGTTTCGGTTTTGAAATTTGAGTTCCGGGATTTCTTGCCTGCAGGTATCAATTGTTAGCCACATTCTGTCTCTTTCTTCTTGTGCGTCAGACCCTGCACTTCCCTTCTTTTCTAGGGATGCCATTGTGCATGCAATTCAAACAGTTGTAGATGGATTCTTGCAGATGTGAAATACCTTCTCTTCACCCTTTAATTTGTATTGCACTTTTTTTTTTTTTTTTTTCATTATGTTTAACATATTCTTATTATGTATTTGTAGCGAGGACTGTCCTAGGAGCTTCAGTGTCATTGACAAGATTAACATTTTCCGCCCAGATAGAGTATTTATGGTAAGATTCATTTTCTTGTATGATATGGCTTCTTCTAAATATTTATATATTTTTATTCTTGGCTGTTTAATTTTTTTTCTTTCCATTTCCCATCATTTTACGAGGCTCCTAATTTCTGCTATGCATTTTCTCAAATAATCTGCTGTAATGATAATGCAGTTTATAGTAGAAATGCATTACAAAGTTACTGCAGCTGTTCATCATCGGCACAAATGTCATCGGTTGGCTGGAATTGAGGTGCTTATTAATGTTCTTGGGCACAAAGCTGCAGTTTCAAGCACGTCAAAGTGAGTTCACAATTGTTGTCTTTTCGACTCTTCAAATTTGGTCCCTTAAAATTATTTTTGCGACAAGAATGTTATTGAGCTTTCAATTTTCTCTGGTCGGGAATATTGGTGGATCTGTAAGTCAAAACTGTATGCATGAGCCACCTTCTACATTGTTTTGTGTTTTAACGTTTTCTCAAAATTTTAATGCTAAGGTGGGTATTCAAAGAATTGATATAGGAATAGGTCTGGATACTGGGTGAACTACTTTGATGGAAGGGGTGGGCGGAAGTTGGTTTAGATTTTATTGTGTTTGGTTTGCTCACCATGTATGTTATTGTGGTTTAGTAATCCATCCTACCTTCCCTTTCAAAAAGCGGTATGGTTGCAAACAGACCGTATCATGTAAACTATTTTGTTTTGGACCCTTTGGTGCTTGCCTAGCTATACTTTGAGTTGTGCTTATGCGTGGCTCAAGCTTGGAGAAATGTTTGGCATCCTTGTGCTGTGCCAGTGCGGTTTGTGTTTCAAGAGAAAGATCAAGCTTGGATTTGCTTAACTTGATTTTGTGTCATGGCAGATTCCAGTTATTTTTCTTATGAATTTGAGGAAGATTATTTTTGTTTAGCAGAAGAAAGGTGGTTGGTTTTGTTCTTTGGTAAAATTGTCTTCCATTGAGAATACATCATTGAAAAGGTTGTTTGAGTTATCATATCACAGTGGCATGTTGGAGTTTGCCGCAATATTCAATGTAATTGGTGAAAAGTGTTTTTACTGAAAAATCAATTCTGATAATTTTTCATATCCCACTTCTCTTATTTCGTCCTGAATTCAATTAAAATGGTATTTTCACAAAGCTTTTAAAAATAACAATAAGTGACAAAATGATAATTCCATCTTCTCTTGTTCATGCGTCATCTGACCAGAACATGATGTTGCCAAACTCCACTCATTTGTAAAGCAAACAGGTACTTCATGTTTGAGCTGATTCTGCCTCCCCTACTTTTGTGAACAGTGTCAATTTTTTAAAATACTTGGTCGGGCATTTTTCATTATTAAACTTTGCCATGTGACTTTGGAAATTGGATCTTTAGATTGAAAGCATGAGGTGTGGTTTTTCACTGGTCAAATTGGAAAGTACTAATGGGTGAATTCCATGAGGTTCTTTTCCTATTGTACACAACCCTTTAGAAAGGATTCTTTAATGGAAAAGCACTTTAGAAGTTCGACAATTTTTCATGTGGGTAATGGGTTGAGTGAGATTCTTGTAATATTGGTGGTGTTGGGAGGGGACTCTTTACAATTAATTTTCCATCTTTATGTTCTTACAATTGCTCACCGTGAGGCAAATGGTTCCCACCATAGTGCTTGAGCTATGACCTCTTTTAAGTACCTAATCTCCATTTGGATTGAAGGATTTTAAGTGGATGGATTTAATTTTAATTATTTGAGGAGTATGATTGAAACTTTATCGCTTAGATTTGAATTTTAACAATATGCATAGATGAAATTGATGCCGGCAAGAAATTAAGTTGCATATGATAAACAATGTATCATGTACATCTAATTTTGTGTCCCTTGGACTTCCAAATCTGTCTCCAATTGCTGATCTTTTAGTTAAACTCAAATCACTTGATTTCAAATCCATTCATTTATCCAAATGGAGCCTAAATGATTTGGTGGTCGCTGATGTTTCATACCTGCTTGTGCTGCCTTAGCCTATGTGATTGTTCTGAAAAATAGCTAGCTATTGTTATATGTCTCCTGATTGTAAGTTGTTATTTTGTGAGATTATTTTCCATTTTAATACACCAGTTGGTTCATAGTTCCTTTTCCAGTTGGGAAGATTTGGTCTCTGTCATGTTCCCTCTAAAATTAGCCTTTTGGCACCGACTGCATTGCTTGTTAGACTTGTAGTAATGTACTGTAGATTGGCTGAATGCTAGAATGTTTTAGCTTGTCAATTTGCATGTGCTTATGTTTGAAAGAATAGGTAGATCATCTCTTAATTCGGTTCAGTTTGTCTTAACTATCTGGTCCCCATTTGCATAATTTTTGTGCTCCTTTGGTTTTTCTAATTTCCTTTAGTTAAATTTTATTGGGATTGTTCTTGTATGACATATGACCTATGCTACTTGGACTTTTCTTTGTGTATCAGCTGCGAGTACGTGCCTAAGCATTAAAGACGCTGATAAATATTTCAATTATTTAACATTTTTTCTTTTATATTAAAAATGTTTTTTTGGTGCTTGTCCAACCAATCACTTCAAACCCGTATCCCATATTCATGTCCGAGTGTTGTAGGAGAAATTCAAGATAGAATAAATACAAGAGAAATATGTAAAGGCTTGAATGAGAATATACACTCATTCACAACTATGGTATTTGTATACTAAAAAGAGCACATGTTAATACTACGAGAAATGAAACTGAATAATATCACTACATATTCTATGCCAAAATCTATGAGTAAATAAAGTCAAATTCCATGATTCTATGCTATCATATCTTGGCTAATATAGTAAGTCATATCCATGATTTTAGGTTATCATATCTGAGCTAGCACTCCTTCTCAAGTTGGTGCGTGGATATCTGAGATGCCCAACTTGGACAATGCATCCTCAAGCACGGTATTCATAGATAGCCAAGACATAACCATGGCGTTATCTCCAATGTCTCCTCAGACCATAAACAATCAATAATGTCTCCTCAGAGCATTCATCTTCATACACATGATTAAAATATGTAGATGGAAGAATCAACAATGTCTCCTCAGACCATAAAAATCAACAATGTCTCCTCAGACCATTCCCCTTCGTACGCATGTTAAATATGTAGATGGAAGAATAAAAAATGTCTTCTCAAACCATATACGATCAACATTGTCTCCTCATACCATTTCCCTTCATACACATGTTAATTATACAGATGGAAGAATAGAAATTGTCTCCTCAAACTAGAAACGATCAACAATGTCTCCTCAGATCATTCCTGAAAAATCCAAATATAGACTTTTTCTAGGGCGCTTTTCTCTAACCTTCCCCATCTAGATCTAATGTAGGACAAGGACTTCTAACATTTTCTCCCCACTCAAACTTTCAACGCCCTCGTTGCCGTCGGACCACCTTGCCTATCCGACGCCTCCTGGGCGGGCACTTGACGTGACACCGGATCAAGGGTTGGGTCTGGCTCGGATATCAAGAGGAAATACAAGATAAAAGAAATATATAATGGCTTGAATGAGAATACACAGTCATTCAGAACTCTGGTCTTTATAACATGTTACTATTATTAGAAGGGAAACTGAATAAAATCACTGCATATTCTATGCCAAAATATATGCGTAAATAAAGTCAAATTCCATGATTCTAGGCTATCATATATCAGCTGATATAGTAACTCACATCAATGGTTCCAGGCTATCATATCTCAGCTAACAGTCGTGTATTTTTACACTGGTATTTCACTTACTTTTGATTAGTCGATGTAACATAGCATTTAACCCTTAAGTGAAAACTTTAGAGTCCCTCTTTTCCACTCTCTATTGGCTAAGGGTGAAAGAAATGGCGTTTTTTAGCGTGCAGCTGTTGTTATTTTGGTCCATCTTCATAAGGATGTTTCTGAATTAATTAGAATGATTATGTTTCTCTCACTCTCTCTCTCTCTCTATTTTCTTTTCTTCTTTTTGTTGGTTGCTTTTGTCCCATTTTGTTTGAGTTGTTTTGTTGTTGAATTGGGGATTTCAATGCTTATATGCTTTTCCTTTTTTTTGCTGGGTTCTTGCACCGTACTTTGTATGATGCATTTCCTTTTCTCATAAAAAGAAGAAGATATTCAATTAAATGTGAACTCTTACAATTTATCTTTTTGAGTTCTTTGTGCAAGTTTTTTGGCTGCCATGCTTTACAGAGCCTCTTTTTTCGCATCATTTCCTTGTTGCAGTTGTATGGTTTCTGATATATTATTTTAAAATTTGTAGCTATCTCTTCAACGTAGTGGGGCAATTCATTGGTTGTCATGCTTTACAAGACCAATGTTGTCGTATTATTTGTACATTGCTCAAAACTTTTAGAAGCAACCCATCAAAAGAAACTACTGGTGTTTTAGGCGAACAACTTCAGGTATATATCTTATGTCACTACCTAATAAATTAAAATATTAACGATTTGGAATGTCTATTTTCTCTTCTAAATTAATGCTGTTGCTGGCTGCAGTTTTTGGTGTCTAAGTTGGTTGCTTGTTGCATTCCCTCTGAATCTAGTGTTGAACTTTCTTCTTCTCAACCATCTCAAGTTTTATCTTTGCTTCATCAGCTGACTGTGGATTCTGATCCATCTCTCTATGACTACATCAAAGTATGTTTTCCTTGTTTCTCAGCTGTAGAAATGAGGTTCTTTTGATTAGCGTTGAAAGATGTTGGGATGTTTGGATTACTTTATATTCAAATAGATCTGAGTTTTCATTGGGGACTTGTGTGTACTCATTCCAGCAATTATTCTGTTTTTCAGGAACTGGAACCTTTCCCTGAATTAGATATATTTGATGGGATACGGAAGTTCCATCATGAATTATGTCAAGATTATTCTGCAAGAGATCACTTATTGAAGGTTTATGTCTGCCTTAAAAGTTTTAGAAAGTTCAGATTATTAATTAGTTCCTAGGTTTTGGTCTTCACCATAATAAACTTTCATTTCCAGTTTGTGAGGAGATCTTGCTACCTTCCACCGCGATTACTTTTATGGAGGTAAGTACCTCTCATAGCTAGCAAAATGATTGCAAATGCAAGGTTTAAGTATCTTTTACATAAAGTTAGCGGGATACTACTCTATTGGCTGGATTTTCAAGATTCTATTAATTTGTTTCTTTTCTTAGAAGGAGATTTTTCTTTTGCTTTTAAAACTGATTAATTTATTAGATGCATTTTTTTTTTTTTTAATATGCCCAAGGAATGCGTGGTTAATGATGTGGAGAAATTTGAATGTTGTTGCTATTCTGACTGAGAAGATGTTCAGTGGCTAGTCAAAGAAAGTTTCTTTTGTTAGTATGGATATTAAATATTATTTAGGAAAAATTTTGGTAACTGGTGATTCCAAAAGTGGCTCAAAGTTAAAATACAAGTTTGCTTATGGAAGGAATTTTTCTTTCTCTGATGCTTTAAGTTGCTATGTCTTGCTGTGCAACCTTATTACATGGTCTCTCTTGCAGTCTCAAAGCATTGCACAAGAAGTTAGTCATGGGGGAAATTTTCCACACACAAAAAAATACAGAAGATACATTTCAAGTTACATATTGGCAACGTGACCTTGAAATTGTAAATGCCGTTTGGACGCTAGTGGATATGTGTGGTTTGGATGATGCAAACAGTTTTAGAGCATTGCTTTCTGATTTTATTTCTCGGGTATCTTTATTATATTTGGTTACATTAATTTTAATTCTCTATTGTTGCACATTATTAAATTATAAGTTTGATTTCTTTTTTTCTTTCTTCTGATTGCAGGTTGGTATTGGGGATCCGCATCGCGTTGTTTTTCATCTTCCTGGAGAGTCTAGTCATATACATGTTTGCCGGTCACTTAAGCTTGACAGTGCAACAGAAATCAGTTTTCCAATGGAAACTGGCTTATCTGAAGAACTTTTGATTTCGCTAATGCGTCTTTTGAAGAAGTTTCTGATGGATGATTCCGTAAAAATAATTGATGTGACGTCACAAGCTCTACGGGTGAGTCCATGGAAGTCTATTTGGATTTGTGTATGTTTTCCCTTCTATCAGCACCCCTCTATGAAATCGTTACTTATAAATAAATATATATATATATATATATATATATATAAGTATTTTGAGTTTGAAGGAACTGTTGAAAGATATAAAAATTGAAGAGAGAAATCAAACATGAAGAACACAAGGAAAGACACACAAAGCCCAAAGGGCTACATCACTCTTATTGTATTCTCTCTTAAGATTGTTTACAATGAGCACCTCTATTTATAGGTGAAAGAACAAAGCGATAAATATGGAAAATACGTTAATGGAGGATTCATAAAATCAATCCCATAAATCACTCCAATCATATTTTATCATAGACTAAAATCACTCCCACAATATTCTCTGAGCAATATTCTGTGGAGTAATTTAAGGGTTCCTATAATAATATTCTCCAACAGGAAAAATTCACAGATCAACCAAGGGCAAAGTGAAGGAAGTCCTGAAATTTCATATAAATTCTTGAATACATTTCAACTCTACTAGATGAAACTCCACAAACCTGCTTCGTGAATCCTCTTTTTTTTTTTTTTTTTGATAAGTAAGATTTTATAAAAGGCGCTCAAAAGGGGAGCGCTCCCAAAGAAGACAACAACCGTCCAAGACGACACTATAGCTTTAAGCTATCCACAAAATCCAAAAGAGAATCCATTGAATTACAGTCCCACCCATTGACCCAAAAGAATAACGAAGTAAGAAAAATAGCCCAAATGGGAGACTCCACGAACCTGCTTCGTGAATCCTCTTAAGACAAAAGTAGTGCCAAAACATCTCTGAATATCTCCAAAATTATGTTAAGTGGCGATTGGGTTCTGGTTGGTTCTTCCCATGCACAGTGGGGTTTAATCTGCAACAGGGTGAAGAGCCATTGATCAGTGGGTTCCTGCATGATCTACATCTGATCTCGTCTTCACTCCTGAATAAGGAGGCAGCTTTCCGTCAATCTTCAAGAAAAACATTCTACCTTCTTCAGGAGTCAATCCCTCAAATATATTGGAGATGCTTGAATATTGAGACTGAAAGATGATTTTTAATTTTAAATTTTTCAGGAAAGTTCAAGCAAACGCGCACACACCCACTATATTTTGCCCCTACTGGGGCTCGAACAGTCAACCTCCCATTTGGGGATGGGAGTTTATATCATTGGTGAGACAGAAAGATGTTGCTTTTGGTAAGAGTGTCATATGGTGCAGTTACAACTAAAGTTTCATAATTTTTTTGGCCAAAACAATTTGCTGTAGAACACAAATTTGATCAGCACCACAAAATGTACTGACCTTTTTTTTTTTTTCAAAATTTTCTGGAATACTTGAGATTTTCTTAAAGATATGCCCAAAATTATAAAGAGAATTACAGAACTGTTGTAGGATCCTAGACAACGCACAAGTGTCCAACTCTCTGACTTATGGATGTGAATCCCCAAAACTAATTTAGGGAAAAAAAAAAAAAAAAATCCCCAAAACTAGTAGACCCCAAGTCAGTAACAGGAAAAGAAAAGATTTTTTTTTTTTTTTCTCTTTTTGCTTTTTTCCTTCTCTCCTCCCTCGTGCCGCGGTGGCCCTTCAAAGAATGTTCTCCAACCACTCTAAGCTTCAGGCCTTTCCCCCTCCCTACCCCCTCTTCTGGTTTTTCCCCTCCTTACCATTTCTTCCTACATCAATTTCCTTGGGGTGGGAGAACTCAACCAGTTGAGTTATTTGTCTTGCCACTCTCTCTACTTCCCCATGCCCAACTTCTTCAATTTTGATTCTTCTGTGTAAGTGTCAATGCATACTCCTTGTTGCATTCATCATACATGGTCTGGATTTGCCTACCTCAGTAATTCTCCTTTTCGATACTTGTTTCATTCATGGATTTGCCTCAACATAAACTTCAGCATCATTACTTGGTTTCCATGTCTGGTTATAGTGCTGAGTCAACAACGTGAAGAAGTCACTGACCATAAGCAGTAATAAATGGGGTTGTGTTAGTAGTCTATTTAGAATTGTAAATGAGAGAAACTTGGCTTAAGGTACCCTTCTATGATCTATCACATTGTTTATCTATAAACAGCTAGCATCTCAACAGGGGCCCCAAACTCAGATTCACACTGAAATTGTTTATTTCATGACAATTTAGACTATTTTTAAATTCATATGCTCATTTACATATGTGGAGCTTCTGTGGGACTTGTTGCTTTTAGCCTCCTTAGAGGAACTCTTTATTTTATTCAAATTTTTTTTTGGTGGTAATTTTTTTTTTTTTTCCTTTAAACCAGGGGATACTATCAACTGAAAGGGGGCATAGAGCTTTGCTATCATTTGATTCTTATGAGAGATCCCTTATTGAGGCAAGTATTCTATATTTATAAAGAGTTATTTTGTTTCATTTAGTCAACAATGTCTTTGTCATGCTGGATTCAATCTTACAGCAACATTCGAAATGCAATTCAATGCATATTTAATACAATTGCAGACCAAAAGAGTTGAGCTTAATGGAAACTGATATCTAGATTGAGTCATGTTGAGTAATTGGTGGACCTGCTTGTTGTTACCCTGTAGAAATGTTATCCTATCATGCTGAAACTTACTACTCTCCATGAAATATAGTTAGCATCTTTTGTTTTTACAGTGTCTTGTACTCCTCCCTCCCAAAATAAGTGTCCTTTTTGAAGATTATAACTTTTAAAATGGATGTGCATTTTATGCATGTGCCTCTTTTGGATTCCAAAACTAATCCTCCAAAATTTAAAGATTTGCATTGTTAATTTGGGGAAGTCATCAAAATCTAACCATAATTTAGGATAGTTTTAATATTTGTACCTTTGACTTTTAAAATGGACACTTACCTTGGATGTTTTTGTTATCGGTGACTTATATAAAATTTTCTATCTTGTAGGTTCATTCCAAAGGTATTAATATAGAGCTAGTAGGGAGCTTACTGTTGGATATAGAAAGAAAGTTCAGTGGTAGGTTTATGCCAGCTTTGAAAGTTGTTTATCTTTGTTTTTGGCGATACTAGTTTTGAGGCCTATTTGTTTATGCTTTCTGTATCCTTGTTGTGTATGTTGTTTAAAATTAATTGCATGCTGATTTTGAAATCCTTTGATTAAGGTGGACTAATTCAGGGTAATTGTCTTCTAGCTGTTCTTTCTGCAAATAAAAATATATTTTGCTTGCAGTTATTTATGAAGTATATAACACTTTTAAGAGTACATCTTCCCTAACGAATATATATATATATATATATATATATTTGTAAACTTCGAGTGAAATTTCTCATCTTTCTTCCACAAGCCTCTGGGAAACTTTCTTTTTGTGCTTGAATTTTTTTCCCCCGGGACCCTGCTCCCAGATTGCCTTTTGATTTTATTTATTTATAAGAATTATCTATTTTTCTTTTTCCTTATGTTTGTCTATTTTGTGTTTCTTCGCCTTAAGTTTTGCTTGTCAGATGTTTATTTTTTTCCCTTTAGCCCTCCTTTTAGAAATTTTTTGTGGTCGTTCACAATTTAAATATCTTTATGTGTATAAAATCTAACCTTCAAAAGATGTCTCAAAAGAGCTACTGGGTATGAAGATTTACTTTATAATCTCCCTTTAGCAAGCATATTGTGAACCCATTATCTTGGGAGGAACCAGTTTACAAGAACTAATGAATCTAGGAGGGCCTTGGGACCAAAATGGGTGTCTATACATGTATAGCATGACTTATACTACAATTATCTTTTATGGTTAAGTATGGTTCTTCATAAAAGAAAGGGCCCCGCCGGGGGGGGGGGGGGGAGTGGTTGGGGGGAAGGAAAAAGAAAACGGAACTTTTGTTTGGAGTTTGAAATACATTTCAAACCCAATTATAGTTAGTGTGTACAGCTATTATCTATTAGCTGTTAATGTATTAACTGTCAAATTAATTGTATAGTTGATTTACCTTGAATAGGTCTGTGTATTCTGTATAAATATCCTTGAGATATATGAAAGAAATACAAACTTTTTCAGCCATTTATCAATTTGGTATCAGAGCAAAAAGAAAGGAATTTCCGCTGCTTTCTTTTCTTTTCTATTTTAACCTTACTTCTAATGACCTGCAACAGCCGTCAGCTATCTTCTTTGTGCTGCTGCTGCTTGTCTTCAATACCTCTTAGCCACGATCTGTGGCAGCCAAAACAACCACTGATTCTTCCTCTCTAACCGAAAATTCATCTGACAGCAAGAAGTCCTCCATGATGACTATTCACGAAACTTCTTCTCCTATTCCTATTAAATTGGATGGTGCTAATTATCGTGTCTGGTCTCAGATTTTGGAGATGCATATTACTGGTAGACAGAAAAAGGGGTATATCATAGGGAAAAAGGTTGCACCTGCAGAGGATGATCCAAGCTATGATGAATGGGAGGCTGAAGATGCCCTAGTCAAGTCTTGGTTTATCAATTCCATGACGGTTAATCTGATGTCCCACTTTGTGCAGTGTGGACAACCAGGGAGGTTTGGGATGCATTAAAGAGAAGTTATCTTGATGTCTCTGATTCTTCTTGGGTTTATGAACTGATGAAGAAGTCCTTTCAATTGTGTCAGGATGGTCGGCCTCTTGTAGAGTACTACAATAAGCTGAACTCAATCTTCAAGGAACTTGATTATCGAAGACCAAATGATATGACGTGTGCAACTGATATTGAGAAATAGAGGAAGCGTATTTCTGAGGATTGGGTCTATATGTTCTTGCAGGTTTGGATCACAGTTTGGATCAAGTTAGTAGTCGTGTTCTAGCTACCTCTCCTTTACCAAGGCTGGAAGAAGCATATTCTCTAGTTTGTCATGAAGCACAGAGACAGGTCACCATGGCAACAAAGGATCACTCAGAGGCCTCGGCTCTTGCTGTCCAAAAGAGTTCCTAACCAGCTCCTCCTTCTACCGACTCTACTTCTCGTTTCTGCACTCACTGCAATAGTACGAGACAAACGGTTGATGCTTGCTGGAAGAAACATGGTTATCCGGAGTGGTTCAAGCTTAAGCAAGCTGAGAAGAAGAACAAGAAATTTGCTCAGGTTGCTATCACCGACATTTCTCCATCTTCTGCTTCTCATGTAATTCGAGTGTCTTCTCAAGGAGGTAATTCTGGTTCGGCCTTTATTTCTACTGCTTCTAACACTTGGGTTATTGATTCAGGGGCCACTGATCATATGACTAGTAACTCTTCCATACTTGACTCTCTAATACCTTCACCCGTTAAGTCTGTTCAGGTTGCTAACGGGACTCCTATGCCAATTATAGGGGCTGGGAATCTCACTTTCTCCTACATTCTCCATGTCTTCAGTTTTACTTGCACCTAATCTCTCTAACAGCCTTCTTTCCATTAGCAAAATTACCAAAAATCTTAATTCTTCTGTAACTTTTCATTCTACCCATTGTGTGTTTCAGGACAATCTTACGAAGATGACGATTGGCATTAGCAAGGAGAGAGGAGGTCTTTACTACTTGGAGAAGGGGGTAAGGGAGTTAAAATCTGAACCTAGCCGTGGTTTTCAAGTAAAGAGAGAGTCTGACAGAGAGAAGATATTTTTATGGCATTGTCGTTTGGGACATCCATCTTTCTTTTATTTAGAACGTTTATTTCCTAAGTTATTTTGCAATATTTCTGCTTCTAGTTTAGGGTGTGAACAATGCATTTATGCTAAAAACCATCGTGTTCCTTTTAAAGTGAGTTTCAATAAAAGTCATATTCCTTTTTCATGTGTTTACACAGATGTGTGGGGTCCTTTTCTACTCCTTTTGCTTCGGGCCATAAATACTTTGCATCTTTTATGGATGACTATACTATAGTGAGTTGGGTTTATTTGCCAAAATCTAAGAGTGATGTTATACATGTTATTCCTCAGTTTTACGAAATGATTGTCACCTAATTTCATACTCAGGTTCAGGTTTTCCATTATGAATCAGTCTCTTACTGATTTCTTCAAACAACATGGCATCCTCCCCCAGACAACGTGCGCCTACACGCCACAACAAAACGGCATAGTAGAGTGTAAGAATCGTCATCTCTTAGAGGTGGCTCGTACCTTATGCTTTACTATGAATGTTCCTAAGCATTTCTGGGCCGAGGCTGTCACGACTGCTGTTTTTCTTATCAACCGAATGCCTTATCGTATAATTAAATATCAAACTCCATTGAGAATGCTATCCCGATTTCACTCTATTCCTTCTACACTTAATCTTTGTCATAAGGTTTTTGGTTGTGTGTGTTATGTTCATATACATTCTCTTCATACGGATAAGCTTGACCCTCGTGCTCTTAAGTGTGTCTTCCTTGGTTACTCTAGTTCACAAAAGGGCTATAAATGTTTTCATCCTCCTACAAGTAAATACTATGTGTCCATGGATGTTCAGTTTTGTGAAAGAGAGTCTTATTTTTCTGGGGATGTATCTCTGATTCCTCTTCAGGGGGAGATTGGTAGTAAGGAAGAGGAACGGTTATGGTTGGAAGAAAAGAGGTTGTGGATTTCAGGTAAGGAGGAGGATTCAACTGTTATGAAAAAAGGAGAACCTTTAGATACTCTTGATCATGTGGAGACCGAGTTCGATGAAAAAATAGGTGAAAGACCAACCCACTTGTTCAAAGAAGTATATGTGAGAAGGAACAAGGATGCCACTGTCGTGCCGCCTCCTTCTAACTCTAATACCCCTCTTGATGATACTACCATGCCATCGGATGAATCTTCTAGGATTAACTCTGAGGTACATGTTTCTTCTCCTTTAACTTCAACTTCAGATATTAATTCTAACCCTGTAACTTCTGTGGAGACTGCTGCCTTGAATCCACAGGTTGGTGATCATGGTAGGAGGTATCCTTTTCGTGATCATAAAGAACCTGATAGGTTGGGTTTCTCCAAATTTTCTTCTAATGTTGTCTATCCTATCTCTAATTTTGTTTCCTATCACCGTCTGTCTAAGACTCGCCTAGCTTTTGCCCTTCAGTTGTCTTCTATATCTGTTCCTAGTCATTTTCAGGATGCCCTTGGAGATCCTAAGTGGAAGGCTGCTATGGTAGAGGAAATGAAGGCTCTCCAGAAGAACTCTTCTTGGGAGTTAGTCGAGTTACCTCAGGAAAAGAAGACAGTGGGATGTAAGTGGGTGTTTGCGCTGAAGTAGAAGTCAGATGGGACAGTTGAGAGGTACAAGGCTAGACTAGTTGCCAAGGGATACACTCAGACTTATGGGATTGATTATCAAGAGACCTTCGCTCCTGTGGCCAAGATGAACACTGTTTGAGTTATACTCTCTCTCGCAGTTAATTTGGACTGGCCATTACAACAGTTTGATGTGAAGAATGCCTTCCTTCATGGTGATTTGATAGAGGAGGTGTATATGGATCCTCCCCCGGGGTTTACACCTGAAGGAGGTAAGGTATGCAAGCTAAAGAAGGCTTTATAAGGGTTGAAACAATCACCAAGAGCATGGTTTGGTAGGTTGAGCTACTCAATGAAGAAGTATCGTTTGAAGCAAGCTTTGGCAAATCACACTCTCTTCTATAAGAGGAATGGTGATGATATTACTTTGCTTATCGTTTATGTGGATGACATGATTGTAACAGGTAGCAACACCAATGAGATAGAAAAGCTTCGGAGCTATTTGGCCAAGGAATTTGAAATGAAGGACTTGGGGGTTCTAAAATACTTTCTGGGCATTGAAGTGTCTCGGTCCAAGCAGAGACATTTTCTCTCTCAACGAAAGTATACATTAGATCTCTTGGCTGAAATTGGTAACTCTGCGTGTGTTCCTATAGACACTCCTATTGAAGTAAATCATGGCTTAGCTATCTATCCTGATCAGATTCCGACAAACAAGGAGAGATATCAAAGACTAGTGGGGAAGTTGATCTATCTGACTCACACTAGGCCTGACTTGTCATATGCAGTTAGTGTTGTGAGTCAATTCATGCACAATCCGAGTGACCGACACATAAATTTAGTG